TACTCAGATGCCTCTTGTCCCTTTGAATACTAAATTAGCATCTTCCAAGAGGCAAGGTGTTACTGGTGATGGCTAAACTCCTGTTGGCTCCCAAAATCTCAGTAACTATTCCACCCCATTTGAGACTCACTGCAACACTGAGCACTGGAGTGAGTCCATGTTTTAGGGAGGCGGCCAACCAGGGGCAGGGAGGGGAGGGAAGTGTTGTACATTCCTTCTGAGAGGTGGACATAGTGAGGGGCCAGTGGAGGTAATGTGGCGTCCACTGAGTTGCACCTACATAAGCCACACAAATCTGGGTTAGCTGAGTAACTGTGGGCTAAACAGGACCTGTTGCATGGTAAGTGGTCAGACCTCATGCAGCTACCTTTTTCTTCCTGTGAGCACAGCTACTTTATGAACAGTTATAAACAGACCATGTTCATACATGGCCTATGACCATATCTTATGTCTTCATATAAAGGCAGTTCGTGGCAGCTCTGGCTGACTTGCAGGAGGCTGTGAAACTCTGTCCCACCAATCAGGAAATCAAGAGGCTCCTGGCCCGTGTAGAAGAGGAGTGCAAACAACTCCAGAGGAACCAGCAGCAGAAACAGCAGTGCTCCCCTCCAGCTGCACCCGGTGCCTCCGATAATGAAGATAATGAGGAGGACACCCTAACCCCTGGGTTAAAGGACCACTTTCACTTCGATGAGGCCGAAGAGGAGGAAACTTCTCCACAGGAAGAATCCATTTCCCCGACTCCCAGGTGCCAGCAGCCATCCTCGTCTGCCCCTTCCCCGTATATCCGAAACCTTCAAGAAGGGTTACAATCCAAAGGCAGGCCAGTATCACCACAGAGCAGGGCAGGAGTCAGCAAGTCCCTAAGGGAGACTGTCGCTCAGCCGGGGTTGGTTATGCAGCCCACCAAACAGGCACAGATAGTGAAAACAAACCAACACCTGGGTTCTGGCCAGTCTGGCATCAGAAACAGTAGTACAAAAATGCAGGTCTCTTGTCAGAATCCTCCTCCAAGCCCCATGCCAGGCAGGATCCCTGCAGCTCCTGCTGGGAGCAGAAACCAGCATGTAGAGGGAGCAGGTACCTTTACTGTTGGAGCTGGTTCTAGCCACTTTGGGGATCGGCTGGGCCCCAGCCAGAATGTCCAGCTGCAGCGCAGTGAAAGTGGTGCTGCATATGCTCTGCCAAGCAAGGCGAAAACTGCCGAGAGGCTCCTGTCCCATGCCTCTGTGGCTGTGGATGTAGCCCCTCCAAGCCAGGGCGGACCAGTGGGCTGCGGCGATGCACGACACCCAGCTTCCCTCACCAGCTCAGGCTCCTCTGGTTCTCCATCTAGCAGTATAAAGATGTCAAGTTCAACCAGTAGTTTGACTTCAAGCAGTAGTTTTTCAGATGGCTTCAAGGTCCAAGGACCAGATGCTCGAATTAAAGACAAGGTTGTGAGCCAGGTGCAGAGCAGCGCCACTGAGCATAGGCCCCGCAGTACTCCATTCATGGGGATCATGGACAAGACGGCAAGGTTCCAACAGCAGAGCAACCCTTCAAACCGCACCTGGCACTGCCAGGTGGCAGAGGGGCTACTGACGGGCACATCCCCCGCTGCAGCTGGCCTGCAGTGCTCTAACTCTGAGAAGCTCTCTCTCAAACAAGGAGGATATACCAGCCAAGCCAAAACCTGTTCTGCCTCCACCCTGAGTGGCAATGTCCACAATGGGGCCCAGGTAAAGGAGCTAGAAGAAAACAAGTGCCAAATTCCAGTCCACCGCCAAGACACGAGGGTAACTAAGAGCATTTCTCATCTTTACCCGGAAAGTATCTCCAAGCCACCACCTCATGTCAGTAATGAAGCCCACAGGAGCCACCTCACTACAGCGAAACCAAAGCGATCATTCATAGAGTCAAATGTGTGAGCCTAAAGAGACTCATTTGTAGGATTTGGAAAAGTGTGTTGGCTCCTGGTGGTAAATAATTAAATGGTTTTTCATCATAAAAATCACTTTTTAGCCATGTTTTTTTTCTTTTTTTCCCATCTAGGGTGGATCAGATGCAATTGATATATTAAAAATATAGAATAAAACTTTAATAAGTCACTAGAAGTCACCATAATAACGCTAAATAGAACTGAAAACTACAGTTAGCTTTACCCATCAAGTTAAAAATTTAAGACAGTAAAGAAGATGTCAACTTTTCTTAGGAAAATTATTTGATTTTTATCACTTTCCTCCTAGCCTTTGCTATGTGGTAAAATCATGGTACTTAACAATGGCCTTTTTTTTTTTTTTAACAAAAGGTTTAACTCATGATATAATATCCTAATGACATATTCTAGAAAAGATGGAATTTTCAAGTTACAGTTCCATTGAGTCAAATTCCAATTTTATTTTTACATATATATACAATTAAAACCTGAGTGATTTCTAGCTGAATGTGTGTGACTATAAATATAGCTTATATTTTCTTTTTTGTTCTTTAAGCAAAACATGAAAGCATCCAAGTATTGTTCCCTTTATAAAAGAAGTTCTTTTAAGAGGATTAAACACTTATTCCCACATTACGGTTCTTAATCAAAATACTTTTATAGCACCTTTTTTGAAACAATATTCATGCTTCAAGGTGTTCTAATATGTGGAAACAGTCTAAGCTCTCTGGAACCTTGATTGGTTGTCCTAAATTGGATTTGAGCTAAAATACTAAGAGCAGCATTCTTAGTAGCTAATAGATTCGGTCTCAACTGGTTCCAAACTGCTCTTATCAGTGCTAATGTTCCTTAAAAAAAACCTTCCATCATCCCTTAAGGACAGTGTTTAAGTTGGATATTTAAGGTATGGTTGGTTGTTGCTTTTGTTATACAATCATTACTTCATAGTCACATGTTGTATATATTAAATAGCCCAGCCTTATTTGAACTTGTAAATATAACTAAGTAGTTAATCTAAAACCAGAAGCAAACAATAAAACCCCAGTCATGTATTTGCATGTTCTTTGTAAATTTCATCCACGCTGGTTATTGCACTGAATGATGTATTATTATGGCATGTTAACAGTATATCAGTAACGGCACTTTATCTCATTTATATAAGAACACCTTCGAGGTGCTACTTAAGTCCAAACTGATGTATTATGCATTTGTAAAGACAAGGTACAAGAATGAACCTTGGTTCAAAGGTATTTTTATATGAAATTGTGTGCTATTGGAGGATGTTAAGATACTAGGTTAAGAGAGGTGGAAGTATATTTGTTTTATACGTTGGGATGTGAAATTTATTTTCTAGAATTGGGGGAAAGGAAGTTCTATATTTGCAGAATGTTTTAAAAATGAATAGTTAGGAAGTTCCTGTGAACATCTTTAGGGTTTTGTATGAATAGGAACTTCCTGGTGTCATTCTTCAACATTTGTTCCTGCGTGTGTGTACAGTGTGCTTTGTATAAACAGCTTTATCATTTTTATAGGCTTTCCATGAGTTCTTCTATAACTACTATAGCTTATTTATTGTTTATTATTTTCTTTAATATTTGTGAAAGTCTTACTCTTTTGTTATGTAGTTTTGTTTCTGCACAACTACTGTACTTTTCCATAAGGAATAAAGGCCATTACTAGACTTGGGTTGGCATTCACTGACTTACTGGGTAAATAGAGCACAACAGCTCCTGCCTTGTTTTAACCTCTGCATTTCACTCTTTGCTTTGGGGTAGTACTTTTCTATACAAATACTACCAAATACATATTAAATTTCATTTTCTACTTTTAGAATAAAGGTAGCAGCTTCTAGAAATTCCAAAATATTCAAGGGTCAGAGCTAGTTTCTTTGTCTGAAATAGAAAGCATGAGGAAAAGCAATCTGTATTAGTTGTCTGTTTTTGTTGGCGACAGGAGAGCTTTAATATTTTAACTCTCAGGCACTTTGGCAATACACTGAGCATTGTTATGACAGTTTGTTCTTTAACACATTTGTGGTATCTTTGTTCAATGTTTGTATTTGTCTTTATAACCACATATTTCAGTTTCAAAGGAGTGAATCAGAGTGAATGGTAAGCTGTTTTATCATCATAAAATTCTAAGTTGGAATCTTAAGCCTAATATTATTTTAGGTTATTGTCTGGTAACTAGTATTGCTAGAAACCTAAGTATGTTCAGTTTTTCAAAGCTATAGAAAGTTTAAAAACAAAACTGGGGTTGCAGTTGTAGCTCAGTGGTAGAGTTCTTGCCTAGCATGTCCGAGGCATTGGGTTTAATCCAATCCACCACATAAAAAAATAAAGGTATTGTGTCCATCTTCCATTTAAAAATATATATTTTATAAAAAACTGGATAATACATAATTCTTGAGCTTGGGTACTTGGGCAGGCTTGTCTTTTCCTGTAAAGCAGTCAGTGTGTTAGTAAAATTAGTAATGCATTAAATTATGATTTTGATTTAGTCTTAGTAAAAGAGGACACTGGGTCAGTTACCCCAAGTGAAATTCCATTAGGAAGCTGTGGGTCAGAGGGCACTAGCGCTGGTTCCACATAGTCCTGAACCAACATTGGGGCCTGGAAAGTCCATTGAGTGAACACCAGTCAGGATGGTGGTGGTGGTGTATTAAATACCCCAGAGTACTATGTAAAAATGCCATTGTATAATTACCCTGCAAGAACTTCTAAAAAGTCTGAATTTTAAAAGGAGGCTAGTTAGCCCCTTTGTATACTATGCAAAGTCAAATTGACTTATTCATGGTAATTTATTTTATCTAACTTGTATCTGGGTTTGAATAAAAATCCTTAGTATCCTACAAATTGAGTCCAACAAAGTTGCTTATTAAATGTCTGAAGTGATTTTCTCAATTATAAGTAATTTATAATTATTTTTTTATAAATCCTCAAGTTATCAAACAAATGGCTATTAACTAGGATATAACCATCTGTTATATAGCATTCTGATCTTTAGTTGTAAAGTGATATGACCCATACCTAACCAGAATAAATTTAAAGCACTCCAATTTAAAGTCAAAGTAAAGTTTTATTTTTTGCATTAGTACAAAAAAGATGTATAATTAAGTCCATGAATTTTAAAGAATGAAAATTGAAGATTTTTATAACTAAATTTATTTTTCCTTCTGTTTTGCTTTTAATAATGCTTGCTTAGTATTTAATTCAAATGAGATCACTGAAAATATAAATAATACAACATAACAATTTATTTATTTTTGCAGTATTGGGGATCAAACCCAGGGCTTTGCACGTGCTAGGAGTGCTCTGCCACTGAGGTACATTCCCAGACCCTTTTAAAATTTTTTGAACAAGATCTCGCTAAACTTCTGTGACTGGCTTCAAACTTGGATTCCTCTTGCCTCAGTCCCCTGAGTCGCTGGGATTTCAGGCATGAACCAACGTCAGCTAATAGTTTTATTTTTGATGTGTCTCCAGCCATCGATTGATGGCCATTTTCAGAGTCCTATTTGGTGTAAGAACCACTGAAGGAAGAACCAGATTTGTCATTGGACTTGTACGCTTCTTTTTGCTGATCCAATTTTCCATTGCTTCCTTTTCATATGAATAGCCATCTTGAAAAACAAAAAGGTATACAAATTATTTGAAATGTAGATAAAGTAGATAAAGTTTCTAAAATGAACTGAGTATAAAAACTCATTGCCAAGGCCTCATTGGGTTTTAAATGATATTCCTGTCATGCTTGGACTGCTATAACAACGTAATCCCTGCCACAACTGAAATTCTAGTGTTTTACATGCATTAAGATTGGATTATGCTCTGTCACACACAGTCACCTAGAACAGTATCATTATAAACTCATAGTGCTTTATGTGGTTCCTTTTGAACACTGCAACTGAGACCAGGATCCTGTCAAAAATTCAGTCATAGTGGAAAAAAAAAGAAATGGAAAGAGCTAAGTAGAGTAGTAGTAAAGAAACATTTGGCTAAAAATGAGAAGGAAAAGATTCTTAAGAATAACTAAGCTAAACTTTCTTCCATACTGAAAAGTCAGAGGAACATCTAGAGATACAGAACTTGCCCTACTCAGAACTTGACAGTAAAGAGATTTAAAATTCCCCCCACCAAAAAAAAAAAAAAAAAAAAAAAAAAATCACTTTTTAATACTGTCTTCTTGCAAACTTATTTGCCTTTACATGTGTCAAAATTGGAGTTTTTTGCTTCATTACTTTCATTTTTATATTTGTAGTGCTTTTTCTGAGGCTGACACTCTGGTTCCCATCTATTTGCTTTGAAATAATGGCAGTATATTACTATTTTTAAGTGTGAAATTTAAGATTTCTTTGATTCTATCATCAGGTTAAGTCCCCAGTCTAACTGAAGTACTGTGCTTGAAAATTGTTTACACGTTTTAGAAGTAAAAACTATTAAACATTCAGGAATCTTCTCTCTCCTGTCCAGTCCTATTCCTCCCTTCACATAGGTAACTATGTATATCAGTTATTGTATAAGCAAATGCAAATGCATACATTCTGCATAAAAGCTAGCATATACTCATTTGCACCATGGTATGTTCTTTTAAAAATGTTCTCCCCATCCCACCGTACTCTCCTGTACATCTGGATGGTTTCTGTTTTTTTCTTTTTATAACAGTGCTGCAGTGAACAGTCTTGAGCATGTCACTTGTATTTTTGATAATGCATTTGGGGGTGATTCCAAGAAGTTGGAGCATATTTATGTAATTTTACTAGACAGTGTCGATTTCCTTCCTAGTAGCAATGTTTATGAGAATGTCCACATGCTGTATGTCTGATGCTACAGCATCAACAGAACGTGATGTCTTATCTCATAATGTTATCAATCTTTAGGGGAGCAATGGAAGAATGGTAGGAATTTTTCTGCATGTTTGAGGCACTGGTTTTCTTTTTCCTATGAACTATAAACATTTTTGCCTATTATTCTTGTAATTGTCCTTAGGAGAAAAAAATTCTATTCAGGAGAGTTTTCCCCATTCCATCAAGGAACTTACCTACATTTTTCTTCTGGGACTGGAAAAATTTTGTTTGTTTAGATTTCTGACCTATCTGGAATTAATTTATATGTGCAGTAGGAGAAATACAATTTTATCTTTTCCCACACAACTGTTTAATTGTCAGAATACTGTGGATTTAAAAATACTATCACTCACTAAATTTCCCAACTCACTTGCATCAACATCTGAATTTTTAAGAATTATTTTCCATTGGTTTATTTATGTGCCAATGATACAATACTTTTAGATTTTATAACATGTTCTAATAACCTAATAAGACTACCTTTCTTATTGTTCTTTTCTAGGTTTTTTGTTTTTGCTGTTCTTATTCTTTCAAGTGAAATCTAACACTCACCCTCAGTATTGCTGGGAAAAAATGTTTATAAGGATGTTAAATTTGTAAAATGAAACAAATATCTTGTTGAGTCCTATCATCTTTGTATCCAAGTATATTTTTTAGGGATGATCTGTAGTTTTCTTTATATAGATCTGATAATTTTTGCATATTATGTCTAGAAGGTTTTTTTAGAGATACATGACAGTACAGTGTATTCTGACATTATATGTACATGGAGTATAACTTATTCTAATCAGTATTCCATTCTTGTGGTTGAACATGTGGAGTTACAATGGTTGTGTATTCATGTATGAGCATAGGAAAGTCATATCCAATTCATTCTACTGTCTTTCTTATTTCCATCCCCCTTCCCTTCATTCCCCTTTGTCTAATGCAATGAACTTCTGTTCTTTCCTCCCTACCCTCTTTCTTGTGGGTTAGCATCCACATTCCAGAGAGAACATTTGGCCTTTGGTTTTTTGGGATTGGCTTATTTCATTTAGGAATGTAGTCTCTAGTTCCATCCACTTGCCAGCAAATGCCATAATTTTGTTGTTCTTTATGGCATGGTAATATTCCACTGTGTATATATGCCACGTTTTCTTTATCCCATCATCTGTTGAAGGGCACCTTGGTTGGTTCCATAGCTTAGTTATCGTGAATTGAGCTGCTATAAACATTGAAATGGCTGCATCACTACTGCAGTATGCTGATTTTAAGTCCTTTGGGTATGTACCAAGAAGTAGGATAACTGGGTCAAATGGTGGTTCCGTTCCAAGTTACTGAGGAGCCTCCATACTGCTTTCCACAGTGGTTGCACCAATTTGCAATCCCACCAGCAATGTATGAGTGGACCTTTTCCCCCATAACCTCACCAACATTTGATATTTGCCATTGATAATTCAATGATATTTGATAACTGCCATTCTGATTAGAGTGAGATGAAGTCTCAGTGTAGTTTTAATTTGCATTTCTCTAATTGCTAGAGTGTTGAACATTTTTTTCATATATTTGTTGACTGATAGTTACTTCATCCGTAAAGTGCCCGTTTAGTTCCTTTGCCCATTTGATTAATTGGGTTTTGTTTTGTTTTGTTTTGTTTTTTTGTGGTGGTGCTTGGGATTTGAACCCAGGGCCTTGTGCATACAACGCAAGCATTCTATCAACTGAGCTATATTCCCAGCCCTGATGTTAAATTTTTTGAGTTCTTTATATATCCTAGAGATTAATGCTCTGAGATGCAGGTGGCAAAGATTTTCTCCCATTCTGTAGGCTCTCCATATTCTTGTTTCCTTTGCTGTGAAGAAGCTTGTTAGTTTGATACCATCCCATTTATTGATTCTTGATTTTACTTCTTACACTTAGGAGTCTTATTGAGGAAGCTGGTTTCTAAGCTGACTTGATGGAGATTTGGGCCTACATATTCTTCTAGTACGGCCAGAGTCTCTGGTCTAATGCCTAGGTCCTTGATCCACTTTGTTTTCTGCAAGGTGAGAGGGGTTTGATTTCATTCTGCTACATATGGATTCCAGTTTACCCAGCTTCTTCAACAACTGGTGCTATCTTTTCTCCAATGTGTGTTTATGATGCCTTTGTCTGGTATGAGATAACTGTTATTTATGTGAGTTTGTATCTGTGTCTTTTATTCTGTTCCATCGGTCTTCATGTCTCTTTGTGCCAATATCATGCTGTCTTTGTTACTATAGTTCTGTAGTAGTCTAGTACTGATCCTTCCTGCTTCACTTTTCTAGCTAAGGATTGCTTTGGCTATAGAGGCCTTTCACCTCTTTTGTTAGCCTTAAAGAAAATAAAATACTTGGGAATCAATCTATTTTGAATGTAATAGTTTTCCTAATTTCTCTTTGAACTGATTCTTCATCAGTATTTAGGAATGCAATTTATTTATGGGCATTAATTTTATATCCTGCTACTTTGCTGAATTTATAAATTCTAGAAGTTTTCTGGTGGAACTTTTTGTGTCTTCTAAATATAGAATCATATCAGCAATAAATAGGGACAGTTTGAGCTCTTCTTTTCCTATTTATATCCCCTTAATTCTTTCTTTTGCCTAATTGCTCTGGCTACAGTTTCAAAAACTATGTTGAATAGAAGTAGTGGAAGAGGGCATCCTTGTCTTGTTCCAGTTTTTAGAGGGAATTTTTATCCCATTTAGAATGATGTTGCCTTGGGTTTAACATATATAGCTTTTACAATGTTGAGGTATGTTTCTACTATCCTAGTTTTTAGAACATGAATGAAAGCTGTATTTTGTCAAATGCATTTTCTGCATCTATTAAGATAATCAGAGAAAGGTTACTGATACTCCTTTTTTTGTTTGTTTGTTTTTACTTGCTACTTTTCTAAATTCGTATTGTTTGTAGTTGTTTCTTTATTCTTTTTTGAGAAAGTAAGCAGGTGCTAGATTTTATCAAATGTGCTTTTGGCATTTACAGAAACAATCCTAAGTGCTGCTTAGCCCTGTTAAGGTACTGCCCCAAGAAGCTGAGGATTCTACATGCAGGGACAAGAATACCACAAACTCTACACCTGTTTTGTCTGCTGGCTCCTTCTCAGATCCTGCAGTGATATATCTAGAGGGAAACTGAGCAAGGTTTCCTATCCTCCTTGTTCCTGCCCCTGGATTTTCATTTGCTAGGAGAAGCTGGTTACAGTCTCTCCAAATATTTTATCCTGCCCCTTTTATAGACAGTAGCACCAGCTGGGCAGCTCCTCCACTCCTTAGAAGTCCAAGAACCACAACTTCTCTTTTGTCCTTCAGCCCCAGATATGGTACAGTACGTGTCAAGTGCAGATACTGACAACTGTGACTGCCTTTTGCTCTTTATACTTCACATACCATAAGAGTCATCCTTTTAAGTATAAAATTATTTGATTCTTGGTACATTTCCAAGTTGTACAATCATTACCAACCACTATTTAATTCAGAACGCCAATGGGGGGGAAAAAACTGCAGCCAATAATCTATCTCTATGGGATTTGCCTGTTTCAAACATTTCATATAAATTAAATTACACAATATGTGGCATATATTTATGTATAGCATCATGTTTTAGTACTTGTTTCTTTTTATGGCTAATAATATTCCATTGCATAGCTATACTACATTGTATCCATTCATCTCTTGATATTTGGGCTGTTTCTACTTCAGGGCTATCCATGTGAACATGAACATACACTTAGGAGTAGATTGTTGGTAACTTTTTGGGAAACTGCCAAACTTAATTCCAATTTCTGTATATCCTTTTTTCTTTCTTTTGGGTGGTGCTGGGGATTGAGCCCAGGGCCTTGTGCATGCACTCTACCAACTTAGCTATATCCCCAGCCCAAATTTCTGTATATACTTGCCAACACTTTTTTCCAGTTTTATTTTAGCCATCTTAGCAGGTGTGACATGTTTCAGTGTGAATTTATATAACTTGATATTGTGCATCATTTTACATGCATTTTGGCCATTTTTGGAAAGGTTTATGCAAATTATTTGCCATCAAGTTTATGAGTAGGAAAATTTTATTAATTAAAAAGATGAGTATTTTGACCCACAGTGTCATATATTACATCACACTCACCTACTACTGATAAATGATATCCATTTTAGTATCACTATTTGAAATACTGTGAGTTCAGTAATAGCTAATTAATTTGCACTGAGCTAGACTTTAAAGTGAGGGGACCCTTTAAAGTATCCCCTGTATGTGTTTAAAAAGAAGGTATACTTTCTATTTTGAAGGTTCAGAATTTGATATATCACTATTTTAGACTGAAGTACGATCAAGGTTTTTATTGTGCTTTCTCCTCCCATTGCCTATAGTTCCTCCTTTATGAAGGTCGTTGTTGTGTTTGGGATTACGCAGATAGTAATGATTATGCTAAGAGTCATGGTCTCTGGTACCGTAAATGCGGTACCTTTCCAGGTGACAAGTATGCAGCCCCCTTCCTTACTACTTGCTACAACTGTCTCATTTTTAGGCTGGGTTACATAGAGGGATTATGTGTTATTAGCTAATCTCAGACTCTTCCTTTATGAATCACAGAAAAATTCTTTCATAATGGGAGCCGAATTAATAAATTTGATATTTTAGGAAGTTTTATATTTTTGATGTATTGGTTACCTTTATGCTAACATCATTTGAAAAGAAGGAACTAAGAATATTAAATTAGCTAATCAGTGAGCTTATTTAATTTTTAATATTTCCTAATCTCCATTGTTTTATAGTGTATTTTGTCACCTTTCATTGAATTTTCTTAAATGAATACTTTTTCTCTGCCAGTTTCTTACTCTACGCAATTCAGTTATCCCAAAGTAGTAAAGAAAAGGATTGTCAAGAGCTATGACAGACCACATCCCCCCACACTAGCATTTTTATGAATAAAAAAGCACTCAAAATATTCTAACACAAAATAATTGCATCTGACAATCTGTATTAATGACACGATTGTTTTTTAGAATCCATGTAAAAAGTTTACTGTAACTAAGTTGAGGAAAAAAACTTTAAAAAGATAATATGATAAACACTACATTCAGTATTGCTTATTTTCATTACATTTTCAAAATGACCTAAATAATTTTAAATTATTTCCATCCAGACAAGTTCTAAGAAGTAAATTTAAGAAGCTCCTGGATTATTTTAATGGACACATTCTTCAACTTAATGCACTCAGATGAATAAGTTGTGGCAAAATACCACAGTCATGATACCTATTGTGAGATTTATCCATTTCCTATACTTGTGTTTCTAATAAGAAAGCAGATTGAGTGAACCTAAAAACTTCTAGCTATATTATATCTAGAAATGGTGAATAAAAGTAGCATCTTTTTGAATGAATAGCTTACTTAGCATTGAAAGATTTAAGTGAAAAATATTAGCTCAGTGGTCTGGGCTCTACTCTCTTGTCCATGGGGGGGAAAAATACTCAAACACATTGCTGCCCACTTTCCTGTCCAAGAAAATGGACCAAGCACACCTCTTCTCCAGAGTTAAATGTCCTCTTCCCCCACTGGAACTCCACAGATGATACTTAATTACAATCTCAAAAGCCTCAGAAAAATATACTATGAAAAAAATAGTGTATCAGACCATTGCAGGGTACTATATTTATTCATTCTGTATAACTTTGTAATGCAGGTATTACAATTATCCTTGTTTTAGAGATGAAGAAACTGTAGCCTGAATAACTTTTCAAGGTCACACTGGTATGAAATGACAGCTGGCATTCAAACCCAAGCAATGTAGCTCCAGGGTCTATGGATTCTACATGCTAAATGGAATTTCCAGAGAAGATAAATAAAATAACTGAAATCTCAATGGACAGGTTAGACAACTTATAGTATATTAGTAGGAAAGTCTGAAAAAAACATGTATGAGAATGTCTGAAATTGGAAGATACCTACACTCAAGATGCGTAGTATGTCCTGAGCAAAAGAAATCCATACCAAAGACATTCTTTGAAGCAAAACATAGGAATTAAACTGACAGAACACCTGAACTAAGAGAAGAGAGTGTTTCTCCAGATATAGTGAAAACAATGTAGAACAAGCAAAATGGTCAGATCAAGGTTAGAAGGTTTTAATATCATAAATTGTTACTTTCAGTGAATTAAGTTAAACAGAACAGACCTGGCAGGAATAGAAAAAGAATAAAAGGAATGCCTGACTAGTGCAAAGTTACTTTCACCCCTTATTTAACTTCCTATAATCCTAGTCAAAACATCAGATATTTTCTACTGTAACAAAGAAATTCTAAGAAGGACTAAATGGGCAAATATGACCAAGTTAGTTTTTTAAAATTAAAAGATAAATTTACACAAGTCCACCTGAAGGCACTATATGATCAACAATATTTTCTTATAGAATAACATGTTGGTAAAGAGTTATCAAAACATCACAGGTACCTCCAAAATAAGTACAGTTTTTATATTAATCAGTTAAAATAACGAAATAGGACACACCAAAACTAAATCAGTGCTTAGAGTACAGAAAGCCTCCATTTTTTAAATGTTTAGTGCTTGACTATTTTTTAAAAGAATGAAACACAAATATCTTAGAAATTCGTCCAAGGCAATTGGTTCAAAAGATGTAAATACTGGTGGGATGGGGTGGGGTGGGGAGGGCTCAAATGGAAAATAGAAAATTCTCCATGCCAACAGCAATTAGCCCAAATCTATCTATAATCATAAAGACACTGGTCCAATTCCACTATTTAAAGATCATGATTGAATTTTAACATGTTATATGCTGACATCAATGTTGCTAAAAATGATTTTGCAATCAAAGAGGACAGACATTTTTATAAAATGTCTAAAATTATACCCTTAACAAGGAATGAATAAACAAGGAAAATCTCAAGCTCCTCCTCACAAAAATCCTTTCATATTCTTTGATCCCATGCAGATGTTTCCCCCCAAAAAACAGCCTCAAAACTCAACCATTTGTAACTTTAATACAAAGTAATATATGCTTTTAAAGATAGGAAACTTGGAAAAATTTTTAGAGTGGACATTTACCATTTGGTCAGTGCCACACCCCCTTTTCTGAGAGAGGCCCTTCCCAATACTATCTTCCTCTTAATTCTCTACAGCTAAGAAGGCAGTCTTCCACCTCATTCCTGTAACAGATGACCACTGAGCCAGGGTTCTGGCTCAAATTAGGCCAATGAGTTCTTGTGGGGATTTTGTCAGACCGATCACTCTCAAGTGGGCAAAAACATAAAATGTAAATAAACTTTGGGACCAGTTTGTAGTCATGTTTTTCCACCATGTGGGAAAGGCACACAAGTGATTATTCAGAAGGCTCTGCACAGATAAGGAAATTCTGAATCACTACGATTCACATTTAATAAGTCAATTGCTATATCATCGAAAGCCAACTCAAGTTGAGTTTCAGTTACAAACAAGAATCCTTATATACCAACTCAAAAATATATAGCCACTACTATACCCATAGTAAATTTCAGTTTGAAATTTAAAAAAGCTAACACTACAATGTTTATTATATGCAGTTGTTTTACATACCTAACATATTAACTCATTCAAGAATCTCATGAGGTAAGTACTAATATCCCCATTTTGTACATGAGGAAAATGAGGACCAGAGAGATTGAATAGTCCTCCACAGATAACACAGATAAGTAATGAAGCAGACTCAGGCAGTCTGGGTCTTCAGTGTATGTACTCACCTTGCATAAGTGTGTTTCTTATTAAAGAATAAAAACTAAAAGAGCTGAATTTGAACTAAATGCTTTATGAATAAGAAGTCACATAAGAAAATTACAAATCAAAAAAGATGATCAAACTCAGTCTTACACAAAGAAATGGAAAGTGAAGTTGCTCTTCATGTGTCATTGAGAAAGACAAAAAACATCACTGATATCCAATCAGACAAGGAAGGGGAAGGTATAGAACTCATTGCCTCTCTAGTATAAGGAATACAGTTTCTAATATACTAATTGCACTGGGGCATACATCCCATGGAAATACCCTAAGTAATAGTGACAACAGAAACTGAGATGTCAGTACTATGGAGCTACAACAAGATTTGTAAACACACACACACCAACTAGTAGAAGAGTTAAATAAAATGTAGCAAAGCCTCAGAGGTATTGTATTGTGAGTACAAATTACATAGACTAAGTCAATATGCAGAAATGTGTAATAAAATTTGAGGTCAAATAAAACACCCCACAATGGAATATGAATTCACTAATTACAACTATGTAAAATATGTGTATATGGACAATGATTAATAATGTGGAATGTTACAGCTTCATCTTTAAATTCTTTTTCTCTATATTTGTTTAAGTTTATGACAAACCCTAAGTGTTCTCAGTAGTCTAACTTAAAAATGATATCTTTATGTTCTGGCAACTATATATATGTTTTACAAGTTTAAGTAAAATCTGAAAAATCCTTTTGTCTCAATTCTGAACCTGTCCAATTTTATTATAAAATGTTCAATTGTTTACCTCAGGCCTAATGAGTTTTTCCAAAGGAAAAAAACTAGTGAGAAAACAGGAATGTTGAAAATTCTCCACATTTAAGCAAACTTTTGTCTATATTATTTGTTTAGCACATAAGCGTGCCCTGCCGACTTGGTAGGCATCACACATACCTGATGCAATGACAGGATCTTTCATAAGTTCTCTAGTTATTGGACATATAAATTCATCAGGAATTCCAGAAGAAAGGGATTTCACCTTGGTCCGGAGCTCTTCAATTTTCCTCAGCACTTTACTACGCAACCCTAGAGATTCTGAAAAGAAAGTATTCCATTAGGGCTGGATTTTTTAAAAATATTTTTTCTAATTGTAGATGGACACAATACCTTTATTTTACTTATTTATTTTTATGTGGTGCTGGAGATCTAACTCAGTGCCTCACACATACGAGGCAAGCACTCTGCCACTGAGCCACAGCCCTAGCCCAAGGGCTGGAAATTTTTTTGCCGGTCCTTAGCAAAAAGATTTTTATCTACTACAACCAGGAATATTCCAACATACTGTTTTACCATATGAAAATGTCTTAAAAATTCCTTTATGAATCACTGTAATACAGAATACTACCTGTCGGTTAAGCTATGTCAGCAGCTGGTAGTTTATTTTGAACCACCTTAGATTGTGAAAATTCAAGAATTTCAGGTGCCAGAAATTAACACACAACAAAACCAGAAAAGGTTCATTTTATTGGTTCATTTATATGACATAGGCTATGGATCTAGTTCTTATGAAAGATCCTGTCATCGCATTAAACATGCAAGGTCCTGGGTTCAATCTCCAGCACCACAAAACAAAGATTAAAAATCTATATAACAAAAAATTACTAATAACTTTGAAAGTTCAGATGAATAATTTAAAAAACCCATGTTATAATAATACATTAAACAATGAAATTAGATATATTTGCTCATTCTTATATGAAACACAATGAAAAGTCTCAGCTGCTTGTCCAAAAGAGTATGCACAAATTTCATTTTTAATTTTAAGAAATCATCTCAATTTTTACTTTTAGAAGTCTAGTATAATTGATTTTAGGAAGTTTAGTGTTATTGGTTGTTTATATTTTTAGAATATATTTTATAAACCAGTTATATTTTTAGAACTGGTTGACAGTTCTACTTTAGTTTGAGGTATTTAGGGTAGGATGGATAGAAGAAAAGAATTGTATTTCAGAATGCTTCGTAGTTCCCATAAAAAGCCAAACCAGCACTATTTCTTTTGAGAGATAATTCCCCAGGGTGCTTATGCACATCTTAGGATACTTCTTATCTTATATAATCTTTTCAAGGAAGTTTGCAAATGTCCTTGGAGGTCAGATACACTCTCTTTCCCAGGCAGAAAGCAAGTTTGTTTCATAACCAGTATGAAGATGATGTTTTCCTATTGGCCTACTCTGCTAACAGTCCCCTTATAAGACTGGGGATTTCATAAGCTCAGGGTTCCTCAGCTATGACACAAACACAAATGGCTCCCATGAGGCATAGGCGGAAAGGGAATCAATCAGAACATGAAGCCCATGCCTTCAGTGCCATGAGTAATAAATGTTTAAATTTATTGGGGCTAGCTGCCCATATTTATGTTAATGTAGCAAATTGGCCTGCTGCTTAGTGACTACCTTCCTGGGACTTTTTTAATATGTAAATTGCTAAAACCAAATTAAGGATCTCTAAAGCATTTTTTAAAGTAACAGAATCAATAATTTCTTTACATGTTGAATGATTTTGCAAAAATATTGACTCAGATAGTTTGAGATCACTATCCAGATTGAATAGAAAGCTACTCAAAAGTGCCTACAAAGAGAAGGGTGCCTCTAAAGTCAAGTACACTGTTATCTGATCAACACAGACTTAAATGTAACAAGTCAGAATAACTCACGACAGTGCACTGAGTTCACCTCTTCCCAAGATTGGTCCATCCACAGTACCACATTTTCTGAAGATTAACTGAACTGTGTATTTTTATTTTCATCAAATAAATTGGAGGATTGAATACGAACTATAATGATAGGTCATGCACTTCAAAAGTTAAGTAACGAGGGAAATGAGAATAGAAGCGATTTAAATAGATGGGTAAGACCAACAGATTGAAGGCTTGACTGAACAAGATGTACTGAGGTGCACCTATTAGAGGTAAGATAGTAGAAAACCTCTTGTGACTAGGATCTGCTTCCTGATAATTTGCCAAGTAAAACTCTACCTCCACAGGGCTTGATTAACTCTCATGAGTGTTTCTAGAACATGTTTGTAAAATTACACAGTAAGATCTCATTTAAAGGGATAATTATATAGTTTACAACAAGAAAAGGATATAAGAGCAATTAATATTCTGAAAAAAGTATTTTCCTGTCAAAAATATTATACATGTAAATTAATATATAGAATGTGTATATATTTGTAACACAGAATATAAGAGGCCCTAATTCAAAATTCCCCCAAATTGGGTCTTATCCTTGGATAAGTTTAGCATCATTTAAAAATCGAAGCTAGGCATGGTGACACTCTTATAATACCAGTGAGTGGGGAGGTTAAGGCGGGAGGATCACAAGTTCAAGGCCAGCCTCTGGAACTTAGACTCTGTCTCAAAAATAAAAAATAAAAAGGACTGGGGATATAGCTCTGGGGCAAAACACCCCTGGGTTTAATCCCCAGTACCACACACATACACACAGGAGTGAGATCACCTTGCTCTCGGGGGAACATTTACCAGACCATTTCCAAAGAGTTTAACCACAAATATCTCCTTTTATGGTTGGGTTTTGGGAAGAAGTACCCTAAACTTAACTGCTCAGAAAGCAAGGACCCTTACTAGCTGATGGCCAGTAAACTCTTGGTATAAGAAATAGCAGTATCTGCCTATTATCTACTATACTCCTGAAACACTAGCTGGTTTTTTGTAAAGCAAAATGGGCCACCAAATCCACCCTCCTTTCCTTCCCAAACAAAACAAAGGCAACTGGGTTGAGAATGGGAGGTGGGAAATGACAGTTTAGAGCAGATATTTGTGTACACAAATGGTCAAAAGTTCTTTCTACTTGTGCCCTTCACTCTTTCCAATTCTGTCCTATAAGGAACACTACCAAAGCAGCACAACCAGCATTAGCTAGAGGCTGGAGAACAGAACAGCACAGGAGCCTGATAACTACCATGCACAAACAGGCTGGTCTCCACTGCCCCATGGAAAACAACAGAACCCAATGCTAGTAACCTGGAAAGAAAATTTAAAAATTGTTTTTTATTTATTTTTTGACAAAAAATTATAAAATGATTAGAAAGATCAACAGAAAATGAGATATAAAAGCTAACTTAGGAAAGAAATACACAACTATAGGTACAGTAGGTTTCTGGTTAGAATTTGGTGAAAGTGGTAGAAGCAGTATCATTTTAAATTTCTCTGAATCCCCACATAAAAACAGAGCAACTACACAACAAACTTATATTCCATGGACAATATTTTCAACAAAACAAGGTAGCAAGGTATCCTCATGAATCCTACAATAAAAATAGGTAAGGCCAAATCACCAATATCCAGAAAAACTGTGTGGTCCACACCTGTATGGAAAGATGCAACAGGACAACTGATCAGTTTGAGAAAAGGAGATACCAAAAATGTCCAAGTACTCAATGGAAAGTGGGATGCACCAACTTAAAAGCAGCAGTTGAAATGAAAAGTTATGCTCATTCCAATAGCAGATCAGTGCACAATAACTAGGAGTTGAAGGGACTATTTCGCTTTATGTATAAATAGGAAAAATATTTAATGACATGCAGAATGACAATGTCAATAACATTCACAGTTTTAAACAAGTGAAAAATCGACATAATGAAGCATTACTAGGAACTGAAACATGAAACTTTCAAAATCTGAGGATGTGAAAACAGTTGATATGTAAAATTTGAAAAGGAATTTGTATTATAATTTTCCAATTCTGTGTTAGTTTTCCATTACTGTGACGAAATACCTGAGGTAATAACAACTTAAAAGGAGGAAAGGTTTATTTTGGATTGGTTTCAGTCCATGATCACTTGGCCCCATTGCTTTTGGGCCTGTGGAAAGGTAGAACATCACAGCAAGAGGGCATGGCAAAACAAGCTGCTTGTCTCATGACACCCAGGAAACAAGAGAAAGAGGGAGAGAAAAAGGGGTTGGGTACAATATCCACTTCAAGGACACACCTTTAGTGATCTAACATCTTCCCACTTGGTCCCACCTATTAAAGGTTCCACCATCTCCCAGTGACACCACAGGCTGGTGACCAGACTTTTTAACATATGGACCCTTGGGGGACACTTTTCCAAATCACAGAAAATTAGGGGAAAAAAAAACACCTATGTGCTTTTATGATTTCTTGGAAAGAAAAAAATCAAAACAAAGAGCAAACCTTTGAAAACATCTCATTTCCAATTAGAAATGTATGATTCTTGATTATTTGAATATAAGCATGACATATATTCCTTGGCATTTGTCAATCTAAATTTCTATCATTATATCACAATTCCAAATTCTTTTTTAAAAAAATATTTTTAGTTGTAGATGGATACAATATTGTTAATTATTTATTTTTATATGGAGTTGAGGATCGAACCCAGGGCCTCGCCTGTGCTAGATGAGTGATCTACCGCTGAGCCACAACCCCAGCCCAACAATTCCAAATTCTAAGACATGTTATTAAATTAGTGTTTATAAATTCATGGATTCACAGATGTCTTAAAAAGATATCCCTCTCAACATTAAGGATCTTTTGAACCTGTAATCTGTCAGGAAATTCCTTATGCAAATTTAGTACTAGATATAAGAATTTACTTCCTTAATTAATACTATGTGTCTACTATGTTTCATTAGGAATCCTAGAAAATGGCTATTAACCTTGGGTAAGCACCAGATTCAAATATTCATATGCAGTTAAGTCCCTTTATTGTATATTTACAAAAAGTCCATGGATAGAAGATTTGATAGACTGTTTAATTCCATAACAATTTTTTAAATGTCAAACAATGGATATACTACTTTGATCAATATACTTTACTTCTCAATCAACTTCCTCCATCTGTTGAATGTTAAGCAAATTCAGAATTAATTTATACTGACATTAGAACTGTTTTAAAAATTATACCACAAGGTAAAAGCAAGCAAAACAGTTATGCATTCATCAGTTTGCCTTTTACATTTATTTTCAGACCCAATTTTAATTCTCTATTAGTCCAATTTGCTGTTTTGAGAAAGGATCTGTTTTTCTTAAAATTCAAGACTAAAAGGATTCACTGTATCTTAAAATAGCACTTGAGAAGATTAAGGGTAGCTTCTTGAGCCTTTAGAATGAAGATACTTCAGGATTATGTGAAAATATAAATATAAAAACATGTAATCTGTTTACTTAATTTATTCTGTGTCTAATTTGTTGAGTTTCCCAACTTTCCAAACTCAACATAGAATCATTAGAAAATATGCAACATTTCTGTATCTATTCATGATTGTTCAAATTCATCATTAACTACCATTGAATTTGTCGTTTCATTGAACTTCTAACATTTTATGGAATTTATTTTCATTGATCATCACTACTAAACCCAAGATTCATTCTACAAGAATATTTCAGGCCATTAATTTAATCCTGTAAGAATATCTTATTTTTTTTATTTATCTAACAACCAAAACAGAATTCTATTTCTATTCATTTTTTATTGTGCTTTTATTTTCAAACATCCTTTTTTGAGTCTAAAATTAATTCATAATATCAAGTACTTCTGCTGGATAAGGTAAAGATTCATTATGTGAGATTAATGAGAAATCAACTAAGATGCTAAATTTACCAGATGTTTTTTAAAATAAAAGACATCCTACAGTCTATTACCTACTCTCAGAGTGAGTAAATTATAAAGTAAAGAAGTTATTAGCAATACAAAAGTAACTCACATGATATGACCTGAACAGACAACATAACTTTTACCATCTACCCATTGTGTTTTTGTTGTTGTTGTTGTTACTGTTTTTGCAGTACTGGAGATGGAACCCAGAGCCTCACACATTCTAGGCAAACACTCTACCACTGAGCTACATCCCCAGCCTTTTTTTATTTTGAGACAGGGTCTCATTAAATAGCCCAGACTGGCCTTGATTTAGATCTTAAGTAGCGGGGATTACAAGTGTAGTCCATCTTGCCCAACCCTGTTGACTTCTTAAAAGGTTATATTTACTATTTAAAGAAAGTATACTATTGTATTTTAAAATGTTTTCTATAGTAAAATGTTTGATATTTCACTCTTCATTAGTAATAAATATTAATACAGATACCCTATTTCCCAAGCTTTGTGTTGACTAAGGTTTTACTACAGCATATTGATAAGAGTGTCTGGTTATTATGTTTATTAAAACAAGGCACTAAGACTCCCAAGTTTGCTTTTTTTAATAAGAATACAAAAGCAACTTTTACATATCAATAATAAAAAGACAAGTAATTTCTGAATGGGCAAAGGATGCTGGGCTCCATGGCGCACACCTGTAATCCCAGCTACTTGGGAGATTGAGGAAGGAGGATTGCAAGTACAAGGACAGCCTGGGCAGCTAAGCAAGACCTTGTCTCAAAATAAAAAGAACCAGAGCAAAACTGTGTTTACATACCCCTGCGTTTAAACCCTGGTACCACAAAACAAACCAAAAATGGCACAGGAAAGAATATACATAAATGGCCAACTGGCACTTAAAAAATGTACCAGTCATTAACCATAAATAAAGCCACAATGAAATACCACTTCAAGCTACTAGGATGGCTATAAGCTAGAAGACAGGTAATAGGAAATATTGGCAAGGATAAGAAACTAGCCCCAGTGCTAATGGAAAGTAAAATAATGCACTTGCTTTGGAAAATAGTCTGTCAGATCTTCCAAGTGTTGAACATACAGTTATTGCATTCCTAATCATATAACCAAGAGAACAAAAAAAGCATACAGGCATGCAAAAACTTGTACATTAATGTTCATAGCAGCATTATAGATAATAGTCAAAAGTGGAAAAACCAAATGTCCGTTAGCTGGTGAACAGATAAACAACATGTGGTATAGTCATCCACTGAAATAGCCATAAAAAAGAATGAAGTGCTGAAACATACAAGAACATGGATAAATCTTGAAAGTATATTAAATGAAGGAAGTCAAATATAAAAGGACACATGTATTTTCAGATGCAGTGATTTACATGTGTAATCCTAGCTACTCAGCAGGGTGAGGCAGTAGGATCAAAAGTTCAAAGCCAGACTCTGCAACTTGGCAAGACCCTGTCTTAAAATAAGAAAGGTCTGGGGAAGTAGCTGAGTGCTTGTCTAGCATCTTGAAAGCCCTTGATTCAATCTCCAGAACCAAGAAAAAAAGGGCATATTATATGATTTCATTCGTAAGGAATGGCCATCTAGAATAGGCAAATTCATCAAGATACAAAGTAAATTAGGGATTGCCAGGGCTTAAAGAGAGGAGAGAATAAGGAGTACTGATAACAAGTGCAGGTTTTTCTTTCTTTCTTTTTTTTTTTTTGAGGGCAATGCAAATATTCTGAAATTAGATTGTGATAATAGTTGTACATCTCTATGAATATACTAAAAATCCCTGACTATTAAATCACTTAACAAAAATGAATGGAAACCTGAAAGTTACAAAGCATTGTTGAAAGAATTTAGAAGATCTGAATGAAAGAAAACATCCTATGTTTATGGATTAGAAGACTTGATATTGTTAAATGCCAATTTCTAAAGTGAACTAAATATTCAATACAATTCTTATCAAAATAGCTCTGCAAAAATTGACAAGTTGATCTTAAAACACATAGAAAAAAGCAAAAGACCAAGAATAGCCAAAACAATTTTGAAAACAACAACAAAGATGGGGGACAAATACACTTCCCAATTTCATAACTTACTACAAAAGTACAATAAGACAATATGGTATCAGCCTAAGAGCAGACATATCAATGAAACAGAATTAAGATTCCAGAAATAAACATCACATTTATGAGCAACTGATTTTCAATAAGGGTATCAAAAAAATTCAAAGGGAAGAGAACCATCTTTTCAACAAAAGATACTGGAACAATTAGATATCCACACATGAAAGAATTAAGATAACCCCTATCTCACACTATATTAAAAATTAAGCCAAGCCAGGTGCAGTGGCACACCCCCATATTCCTAGTTTCTCAAGAAGCAGGAAGCATAAAGGTTGCAAGTTCAAAACCAACCTGGGCAATTTAGCAAGACCTTGTCTGAAAATGCAATTAAAAAAGGCTAGAGCTATAGCTCACTGAAAGAGCATTTGCCTAGCTTGTGGAAGGCCCTAGGTTCAATCTCTAGTATCACAAAAACAAAAACAGACCTAAGTTCTAAGTTCTAAAGCTTAGTCACAGAAGAAAACACAAGTATAAATCTTCAAGATTGGGATTAAGCAATTGTTTCTTAGATATGACACCTATAGCACAAGCAATAATTGGAGGGAGAACAGATAAATAGGATTTCATCAAAATTTAAAATTTCTGTGTACCAGTGCACCAAAAGATATTATCAAGAAAATATAAAGATAACCCACAAAATGGGAGAAAATATTTGCAAATCATATATAAACTCTCACAAAACAAAAATAAAAGAAAAAAAAAAACATTTCTGGGCATAGTGGTGCATACCTGTAATCCCAGGTACTCAGAAAGCTAAGACAGGAGAAACTTAATTTTGAGGCCAGCTTCAGCAACTTAGCAAGACCCAAAATAAAATAAAGGACTAGGGATGTAACTTAGTGATTAAGAGTGCTCCCAAAGCATGTGTGAAGACCTGCATTCAATCACCAGTTCCACCAAAAAAAAAAAAAAAAAAAAGACGTAGGATTGATGTTTCTCCAAGTAGGTATAAAAATGATCAATAAGTTGAGAAACAGATGCTCAACACCTGCTATGGTTTGAATTTTGTGTTCCCCTCCACCAAATTCATATGCTGAAATCGCCAATAAGATGGCGTTAGGAGCTGGAAATTTGGGGATGTAATTAGGGTATGAGAGTAGAGTCCTCATAAATAGGGTTAGTGCCCTTATAAAAAGAGGCACAAAACAGAAAACTTGCCCCTTCCACCACGCAGAGACAGTGGGAAGGCATACATAAAGCAGGAAATAGTCCCTCAGTAGATAACAATGCTTTGCCAATACAATAATTTTGGATTTTCCAGCCTCCAGAACTCTGAAAAATAAATTTATGTTGTTTATAAACTACCCAGTTTATGAGATTTTTGTTATTGCAGCCCATATGGATTATGACACATCATTAGTAGCAGGGAAATGCAAATCAAAACCTGAATCCACAAGAATGGCTACAATTTAAAAAGCAAATGAGTATTATTTAGGATGTGAGAAACCGTAACCTTCACACACTGGTCGTGGAATTGTAGAATACCACAGCTGCATAGGTAAAACAGCTTGGCAGCTCCTCAAATGTTAAGCAAAGAGTTACAATATAACTCAACAATTCAGACTAAGTATCCACCCAAGAATACTGAAATGCTCAAAGATTCTTATATGATTGTTCATAACAACATTATTCATAATAGCTAAAAGATGGAAATAACCCAAATTCCATCAGCTGATGAATGGGTAAGCAAAAAGCAATAAATTCATACAATGGAATAATAGTCATAAACAGGAATGGGGTACTGATACATGATCAAATATGGATAAACCTTGAAAACATACTAAGAGGGTAGACATAAAAGGCCATGTATTATATAATTCCACTTATAGGAAAGTCACAAATAAGCAAATCCATATACACAGAAAAGATTAGTGATTCCAGGAACCAAAAAGAAAGGGGAATATCAGTGACAGCTAATGGGTTTGGGATTTTGGTTTTTTGGAGGTGATAAAAATGTTCTAAAATTAAATAGTGGCAATGACTGTACAACTCGGAGAAAACACACACACACACACACACACACACACAAATCACTGTATTGTATACTTTAGAGAGTGAATTTTATGGTATATGAATTACATATCAATTTTTAAAATGATTTTTAAAATTCCAATTACAAGTTAGATTAAGTTACCAAAATAAATGCTATGTAACACTTTCTTTTGCCTAATCTAATAAAAATATACTCTCCTTCTAGACAAAAAAAAAAAAAAAAAAAAAAAAAACCCACACCAGAATACTTGCTGTTATTCTGTTATGATTACTAAAATCAACCTCAGAGTAAATAATTAAAAGTTGTTTTTAAGACTGTTTTTCACTAATCTTACCAATTTTCAAATCATCAGCCAGACTTTCTTTTGTAAGACTCAACAGTTCTTTTCCATCAATGTTATTCGTCTTGAAAATACCAACAAGGTCTTTTAAACCTTGTGCACAAAGCCACATTGAGACATCCTCCTCTGACCAATCTTCAGTAAATTGCTTCAGCTGATCTTCCATGCTCTTTGCTAAACACATACACACATGAAAAGGCAAGTGAGGTTAATAATAAAGTCTTTCATAAACATTCCCACTATGAACTGCAAAGTAAATGAAAAAGTTTAAAAATTTAAATTTAAATTTAAATCCCTTTGGTCAGGGCGGTACTGGGAATTGAACACAGGAATGCTTAATCACTTAGCCACATCTCCAGCCCTTTTTATTTTTAGACAGGGTTTTGCTAAATTGCTGAGGCTGGCCTTAAACTTGGAATCCTTCTGCCTCAGGCTCCAGAGTCACTAGGATTACAGGCATACAGACATGCACCACCATGCCCAGCTAACTTTCCAAGAATTTCAAAAAATCAATTATCACCATGTATAAAGTATTATTTAATATTACTTAATGTTATATAAAATATTACTCTTTTGGAACTTCTTTTTCACTCCAGAAAAACAATTTTTCTTTATTATATAAAACTCATACCAGCAAAGGTTTTTGCTCTATCATCTATCTGCATGTCAGCACCAGCATTTTGAGTTAATTCTAACAGTGACAAAAATAAAATCCTAAATTATGTGCCAATGTTGTTTCATGCACCAAAAACAAAGCCAGCAAAATACAACTATAATTCCTATTCTGTCTTCAGGCTACATTTATCTGAAAAATTAGTATGGAGTACAAATAAACAACATACAAAACCATGGGAGGTATGATATGAGTATGCACTCAAAAGTCTTTACCAACAGTTTTAATATAGGTCAACTACATTAACACTGGCTTCTCTGATTTACCCAATTTCAGGCTCAGTAGAACGCTTGCCTGTTATGCACAAGGCACTGTTATGCACAAGGACCCCTAACACAATAAAATAAGAGAGAGAAAAGGAGAATGACAGAGGAGAAAAGAGTTACTAAATGTCTGATCTCAGTAGTGAGTGGGTTGAAAATTATTAACTTACTAACCTTGGCAATGTGTTTCCTGATCAAATTGCCAGATATTTACTGTTTTGTCCATTGAACCAGTAGCAAGCAAGAGGGTATTGGGTGCAAAGGCACATGTTGTAACATACCTAGTAAATAAAAATAAACATTACGTATCTTCTAATTTTTTAATTATATTAATACAAAATGCGATTAAGTTCAGACCTGGTATGCTGGGTCAATGTGTGAAGTATATTCTGAGTATTCTGAAAGAAAACAACAAAAACAGCTTTAATATTTTCTCAGGCAAGAGTAGTTACTAATGAAGATTCACTTGACATACATTATTTATAGTTATGCATATTCTCATATGTATTCGTAGTAGCTAATATCAGTTGGAACTTCACTCAGTGAATAGCAAAGAATGTCATTTATAACTAATAGTATTATCAAGTACTGTGGGTGTGATGGTACATGCTGTAGTTCCAGCTAAGTGGGAGGCTATGGCAACGTGATCACAGTCGAGGCCAGCCTGGGCAACTTAGTGTGATTCTGTTACCAAAATAAAATTTTTAAAAGGGCTGGATGATGGAGTGCTTGCCTCACATGCAATAGGCCCTGATTCAATCCCCAGTACTGCACAAATGCTTATTTCACTCTTTTTCAGGCACCAGCATTATTGTCTACTGACTACTTTCTTAGACGGTTTTAGTACAACAGATCCTTGGCATTTGATGATTTTTTAAAATTTATTAATAGTAACACAAATGTGTTAAATGAAAAAAATATGTTTTTGCTATAGCATGTGACTTGTACACATTGTAGAATCAGTGAATAGAAATTGTCACTTATGGGTTGGGGATGTGGCTCAAGCGGTAGCGTGCTCGCCTGACATGCGTGCGGCCCGGGTTCGCTCCTCAGCACCACATACAAACAAAGATGTTGTGTCCACTAAAAACTAAATATTAATTAAAAAAAAAAAAGAAATTGTCACTTATATTTTGAATATACTTAAGTGGCCAACCAATATATAGATGTATTTAACTAGAACTTATATATATTTTACAAAGAAAATTTAATGTTATAACTTTTTTTGCAAATATAAAATATCAAAAAGTCGATGAGAGTGCTGGGGAAATAGTTCAGTGGTAGAGCATTTGCTTATCATGTACAAGGCCTGGGTGGGGCTCAACACCCAGCACCCCCCTACACACATATACACAAAGTTGATGAACTATTAAAGATCTACCTAATCTAGATTGAGTATTCTTTCCCATTTCCTTTCAGACCTTTCAGTGACTTGAACTTTTGTGTGGAGCATTAAAGTTTAGATTACTTGGCTTGACATGCTAATTGATTTGCTGGCATAGCTACTGTATAAGCTCAATCACTATAAGGTTCCATTCAACCCCAATTTTCTCTTGAATATTTTTCTATTTTTCTCAATTATATCTTTGTTATATGTAAAATCTTCATTCTTCTTCATACTCTTGGTCTTTACCCACATAGATGTATGGGCAGATCTGTGGATCCATTTTTCCAATTCCACAATAACCTGATCTTTCTTATGCTAGTGTCTCAATCTTCCCAGTCTCTAGGAATAATAGCTCACTTTCAGTTACACTCTCCAAATTCCCTGGGGTAAACATTCCTTCTTTGTTGTTATGGAGGCTGATATAAAAGTTTAACAAGTGACAAAGTAATTTTTGGATATTGGTGCTCTTTTTTTTAATCTTTATTTTTATTTTGTTTACTTTTTTTAAGTGGTGCTGAGGATTGAACTCAGGGCCTCACACGTGTAAGGCAAGCGCTATACCATTGAGCTACAGCCCCAGCCTGATATTGGTACTCTTAAATCTGTATTTCCTATGATCAGATTTTAAAATCTGTCCATCTTAAAATCATTATTGCAATATTTAAGAGCTTATCCCAGAAATAATTCATTACTTTTCTGGTTATTTTAGCATTTGGGAGAATGTATATACTATACTATTGGGCATACTAAATAGAAGAAAACTACTTTTTCTACCATGCCTAACTGAATTTGAAGTTGTTTCACAAACATAATTAAGGTCACACAAAAGATTTTGAAATACTTACAGTATTATATATTATGACAGACTTATCCACTGATCTTTAAAAGAAAAATAAAATTAATGATGAAAGTTTCTATAAAAACAAAGTACATTTATATAATTAGTACTCTAAATCACCTTAGTGACTTTTCTAGGTTAATAAACATAAGCATTTGGAAAGCAGTCTCTTTTTGTTTATATAAATTTTTATTTTAAAAATGCCAAATATAAAATCTATCAGAAATATATATATATATATATATACATACACTTTATTAAAACAGTATATGCTATTTATGCTTCACAGACATAAACAGAACAAGCATCTGTGATATATAATTAAGATACAACTCCATATCATGTTAGTAACCCAAAAGGAAAAGATCATTACAAAGAAAAGTTATTACTTGCTACTTAGTTGTTTCAGATAACACTGTTCTCTACCATTGATATGGTTATACCCTAATTACTAATAATGTACGTATGGCTTGGTACCCATTTTTGAAAGTATAATTCCAAACTTGGTGTTGGAATAAAAAAAAAAAAGATAATACAAAGAAAAACACATTATTACAACAAAGTACACAATTTTAAAACAACAGATTAAAATTTTTCTATCTGGTTATTCCTCCTTGGAAGTAGTCTTTATGCCACTATTGCGAAAAAACATATCAGCAAGACAATTGTTACTACCCTCTGTATAATATCAATATTTGTACCTAATTGAAAGGTAGTTGATTATAGCCTAACCATAGGAGTCACATCTATTGCCAAGCTTAAAATTCCTTGTTCAGTAGGCCATCCATTTGTTAATGACAGATAACTTTAGAATCCTTGCTAATAATTCCAAAATAGGAATTACAGTTTAAAATTTCAAATCTAAAATAAAATACAAGAAGATGAGAAGCACAAAATGCATTCTGGATGTAGAAAAAAATTTCAAAACAGAGTGAATGGGGCTGGGGTTGTGGCTCCATGCAGAGCACTCGCCTGGCATGTGCGAGGCACTGGGTTTGATCCTCAGCACCACACAAAATAAATTAATAAAATAAAGGTACTGTGTCCAACTACAATAAAAAATATATATGAAATACTAGCAAGTAAAATTAATTGAGTATGTATATGTATGCTAGGCATAATTTATAGATACTTTTATTTAGTCCTAAATTCCTCAATATACAGGTTATTATCTCTAGAGTGTATAAAATTCTTAGGGTAAAATCCACTATTTCTGAGCATCCCTTAAAAAATACACTACATATTCCATATTTATCCAAAAGAATTAAAGTCAGCATATTATAGCAATTCATACACACCCATGTTCATAGCAGCATAATTCATAATAGCCAAAGTATGGACCCAGCCTAGGTGTCCATCAACAGGACAAAGAAAATGTGGTATATGTACACAATGTTTTATTCAGCTATAAAGAAAAATGAAATTATGTCATTAGCATGAAAATGGATGGAACTTGAGACCATTCAGACCAAACTCAGAAGGTCAAGGACTGGATGTTTTCTCTCATATGTGGTAGCTAGAGAGGAAAAAGGAAAAGAAAAGTGTGGTGGTGGAGGGGTTATCACATGAAAAGCAAAGGGAGATCAGTAGCACAGAGGAAAAGAACAAGGGGGTAGAAGGAGGGAGTGGGAAACTGCTGGAGAGGGATATTGGCCAAATTATATTGTTATATTGTGTGTATGTACTAATATGTAACAATAAATTCCGCCATGATGTACAACTATAATGTACAAATAAAAAAATGTGGAGAAAATAAAACACTACATGGTGACATTTAGCAAGATGACAGACAGGACTGCTCAGTGTTTATCACCCCTCTGATATATCAATTTGAGCAAGTATCCACAAACAAAAATACTTTCATAAGAACTACAGAAACTAGGTATCTAGCTATAGCAATGTGACTGAGAGTAAGGAGCACATTAAACATTACTTTTGAAGATTTTATTAAGTGGAAATCTGGTCAACTGAAACGTGTGTGTGTGTGTGTGTGTGTGTGTGTGTTTTAATTTTAAGTGAATGGGTGATTGGGTGACGTGGCTTTTGGTTAATTGACCTAGGCCCAGTTCTACTTAAGTTTGCTGCTTCTAAATGGATGATAGCAAAAACTTCATTTGGAGCTGACTAGAACGCAGCCATGCTAAGTTTACATTCAAAATGGTCCCTCCCATCCACTTCCCATTACATTTTGTCTCAAATTCTCACTGGTGTCGAAGCAACAATTAAAAAAAAAAAAAAACTAAAAGGAAATTTTATCTTCTGAGACTACCACCAGATAAAATTAAAACTAATTCCTCTTTGATGTATCATTTGAGAAGCAGTTCAAGAGGCTAATGCAGGAGGATCACAAGTTTGAGCCTCAGCAACTTACAGAGTCCCTATCTCAAAATAAAAAATAATGGACTTGGGATGTTGTTCAGTGATAAAGCACCCTGGGTTAAATCCCCAGTACCTGGGGAGCACGGGGAGAGGGAGGATCATCATTAGTGATCTTTATGAGCACTGCATTGGGAAGACATAAATTGTTAGTTAGTGTACAAAGGAAAAAGAAATGGACTGAGTTTTGGGAAAGGTGATCTCAAGCCTCATTCTGTTGGTCACTACTGAGTAAAAGAAGGCTGTTCATTTAAACCATGCCTGATTCATAACAATAAAACTCCAGCTAATTTACTTATAAAATAAATAAAATGTAAATAAGCATATTTTAGAGGAGAAAGAACACTCACTTCCCATCTCTTCTAGAATAAGATTACTGGCCTCCTCCTACTACTACTTAAAAAAAAAATGACACATGACTAGAGAGTTTGGGGGTAAGATGCCATACTCAGCTGTGTGTGTGTGTGTGTGTGTGTGTGTGTGAGAGAGAGAGAGAGAGAGAGAGAGAGAGAGAGACACCAATTAGCCCTTGCAAGAGAAGTCTGCAGTGGACGATGTTGCCAGAGCTCAGGAGCAAGTTAGTTGCAAATAGTCACATTATCTACTCTATCTGTGCTATTTCTTTCTCATTGGTTTTCAACTCAAGACAAAGAGGGTTTTTTGTTTTTGTTTTTGTTTTCTTTCCTTACAACACCACTAGGGATCAAACTCAAGACCTCATACATACTAGGCAAGAGCTTTACCACTGAGTTTCATTCCCAGACCTTTCCACTTTATTTTTGAAACAAGAACTTGCTAAGTTGCTGAGGCTGGCCTCAAACTTGTATTTCTCCTGCTTCAGCCTCCCAAGTCACTGAGATCACAGTTATGCACCACAGCACCTGGCTCTTTACTTCACCTTTAATGCTATCTCCTATAGTTAGGTCTAGCACCTTAGAATTGATTTCAAAATTTCATGAGTTTTTCTAAATATAGTATATAACGTTTGAACAAGTTTTGACAATATCTAGTTTCTCCGTCATTTCTAGTCTCTTTTTTCAGTGTTATTCCCCTATTTCTTTTTGTGTTTATCATACATTCTATGGTTAGGATGCGGTTTGTCCCTCAAGGGGTTCATGTGTTAGAGTCTTGGTCCTCAGTATGCAATATGAGAAGTGGTAGGACACCTAAGAAGTGAGGCCTGGTGGGAAGTCCTTAGGTCACTGGATACTGCCCTCAGAAGGAATTAAAGTAGTCCTTGTGGAACCCTGAGTTGGTTCTCATTAGAGCACATTGTTAATAAAAGTCTAAGCCTGACCTCTGACACTGAAATGCTGTGTAGTTTCCTCTCTTGAAATGTGACCTCTTTCTTCTACATGGATTCCTGTCATTTTGAGTCCATCTACCATATGCTCCATGTAAGTGCCATGCCCTTGAACCTTCAGAACTGCAAGCTAAATACATCTTTATTTTTTTAAATAAAGTTACCCAGACTTGGGTAGTTTGACATAGTAACAAAAAAATGGACTAATACATTTTAATCTACTCAATTTCCTGCCTCTTAGAATGTGCTTTCTGTTCACCAATCCTCCTATATTTGCATAATTAATTTTATACTGCCTTTTACATAGCCACCCATATCTATGATTGACATACTTTCCCTTTAGCACACCTTCTAACTTGCAATTCTATTCTATTCTCTATTTTGCCAATTTACCTACTTAATATTCACATACCACCATCTTATCCTGTTTTTCACTATCTCCCTCTTTCTCACATGTATCCATTCTATCTTATCAATGATTTTCAGTCACAAATGGAGTCTCTCTCATTAATAAATTGGTTTGTTCTTGTGTATCCACATATTAGGTATGGTTTAAACATGTCTGTTGATTCTTCTAAAAAACTGAAGTGCTTTTTTATTTCATCAACTTATAATTCCAACTCATTCACTTAACTGAAATATTTATCCAAATAAATAAAAAATATTCAGAAAAACATTTGAATATGACTTAGAGCAACATTATATACCAAAAAACTTAATAATATGAACTTCCATTTATCCAGAATGACTGTGAAAGGTCATTTCAGTTAATGCTAGTTACCTAAAAGTCACATATATACAAACTGATAAAGAATTATAATGCTATAAAACAAACAAAAACAGTATTGAGTATCACTTAACGCTTTTTCCATGATTCAGAAGGTAAGGAAATGTTAGGATCTTGCAGTGTTAATAGGTTGTCACCATAAGTACTAACTATTTGAAAAGGGACTTAATACATGTCTTCAAGAACACACTGCCTTGAACATCCTTCTATACGCCCTGTTGCAAATGGGTAGAGAGCTTAGCACATTAAGACGTATACCCATCTTGTGAATTAAGCTGTTCCCTCAAAATAACAAAAGAAATCCAATTTTGTTTGAACTTTACACTGACTTAAATTCTAAGTCAAAGGAAAATTATGATTTTTGATGAACAATAATTATCTTTTGAGATAAAAGAGCCACATTAAAATAGTGGCAACAAAACTGTTTGGCTGACATATGACCAAGTGTGTTTTTTTTTGTAACAAAAGTTGATTTAACATTTAAAAAATCACTGTAATTCACCCCACTAAAAGAGTAACAGAAAAAAATTATGGTCATCTCAAAAGATGCAAGGAAAAATAAATCATCTGAGGAAACAGAAAACACTCATGATTAAAAAATTAACAAAAAAAAAACTGTTAATTGTATATCCCCCAAACCTACAATGATCATATCTAATAATGAAAGTTTTCCCTTTGCCTTAATCAATCAAACAACAATGGCTGTCATCACTATTTCCATTACCATAGCAGCATTAGCCAGTTCAGTAAGGCTGGGAAGATATTAACGGTATTAGAATTAGAAAGGAAAAGAAAAAAAAAAAAAGAATTAGAAAGGAAAGGGGTTGGGGTTGTGTGGCTCAGTGGTAGAGTGCTTGCCCAGCATGTGTGATGCACTGGGTTCGATTCTCAGCACCATATATAAATGAATAAATAAAATAATGGCCAATTGACAACTAAAAAAATTTTTTGTAAATTAGAAAGGAAAGGATAAACCCACCATTATCTACAAATTTTTATACACAGAAAATCCAAAATAATAAATTTTATAGATAAATCCATTGTATTTACATATACATTTTCTTATATCAGTCACAACTTTTATAATGACAATGACAAAACAATTAAGTGCCTAGAAATAAGTCTAATAAAAGATAAGCAGGATTTCTACATGGAAGACAATTGTTGAGGGAAACTAAGACAAATAAATGGCAAAATACGCCATATTTATGGATTATAAGACTTGGTATCACAAAAATGTCAATTCTCCCCCCCAAATTTCAACTGATCAGACTTTATATAATCCCAACTAACACCCAAAGAGATTTATGTATGCGGAGCAGCGAATGGGAATCATTTGACAAATGATTCTAAAATTTACATGGAAGTGTCAGGAGCTAAGAACAGTCAAAATATAAAGCCTTATAAAGAAAGAGTGGTATTATAGCAAGGATTAACACAAAAATAGACACACTAGCAGGGTGAGAAACAGACCCACATATACATGGCACTGATTTCTAACAAGGGATCACAGTAAGTGATGATGAAAGAGTAATCTTCAGTAAATGGTCCTAGGACAAAAAGCCATATAGAAAGAAATGAAGCTACATTCCTAATCCACCTAATACACATAAACCAATTTTGTGAAAGGAAAAACAATGAAGGTTTTAGAAGATAAAATGAAAAAAACATCAAGACCTCAGAACATAAACTAACAACACTAAAATTATGAAATTTGAGAAGGCAAATCTAGAAGGTGGCAAAAGACATTTACAACACATATAACCAACAATGATTCATGTGTAGAAATACACACACACACACACACACACATACACATATTTAACAAGTCAATAATAAAAAGATAACCTGTAAGATGGGCTGTGGTTGTAGCTCAGTAGTAGAGTGCATGCCTAGCACGCGTGAGGTGCTGGGCTCGACCTCAGCACCACATAAAAATAAATAAATAAAGGTATAAAACAATACAATAATATTATAAAAAAGTTTTCTAAAAAAAGATAACCTATAAGAAAATGGGCAAGAAATATTAAAAAGCAATTCATAAAGAAGAAAATACAGGGGCTGGGGATGTGGCTCAAGTGGTAGCGCGCTCGCCTAGCATGCGTGAGGCACTGGGTTTGATTCTCAGCACCACATAAAAACAAAATAAAGATATTGCGTCCATCTAAAAAAACTAAAAAATTTTAAAACAGAAGAAAATATAAAAGATCAATAAACTTCTATCAAGTTCCAACCTCACAGTTTTTGGGGAAATACAAATTAAAACCATAGTAAGATAACCCTATGAACCCATCAGAAGAGCTAAAATTTAAAAGACCCACAATGCCAAATACAGGTTAGGATAAAAACATTACTATAGGAGTATTAATTGTTCAACCACCAGGAAATAGCTTTGGTTTTACCTCCACACAACAGAATATTATACAGTCATGAAAATTAATGACTTATTATTGTAATTAAATGCAATAATATAAATAGATATTATAAGCATAATGCTGAGTAAAGGAGGCTAGACACAAAATAATTCACATGGTATGATTTGTTTTAAAACAGTTTTAAAAGAAAAAAGCAGTACTTTCTACAACCTGAGGTATTGTAGTCAGAAAAGAACACTAGAAGGAGAGGGTTTCTAGAATAGAACCAGCAATATTTGATTTCTTGACCCAAGTCATGGTTACACACGTAGGCATCACAATAATTCATCAAGCTAACCTTTTATGCTTTATGTGCTTTTCTGATTATATGTTCCATTTTATATCAAATGGTTTAAGAAAATTAAAGAGCTTACCCCGAGACTAGCATCTGCCCATCATGGGAAAAAGCACAAGCCAGAACAGGAGCACAGTGCCCACTCAGTATACTTTTATACTTTAATTCAAAGCCTGCAATTAATGAAGTGAGAAAAATTAACAAGCTGACCATGCTTAGAATTTTTAAGTCAACCCTATTTAACTTATTTATTCAATAATCTTTAAACACCTAAAATACACAAAAATTAAAAATCCTCATGCAGCTCAGATATTGACACATTTAAGCAAATAACTGGAATGCAATGTGATTAAGAGGCTTCAAAAATCTCAATAATGAATTGAAAATGATGTGCTCAGAAAAGGCTAGACAGGGTAATTTTATAACTACCAAATTATTTTTAAAAATTTAAGCTATACCACAAACAATTTTTAAAAGAAAACATGTAAATTTTCCAAAAGACTAAGAAATCCAATGCTTATAATTTTGTAAAATCTCACATCAGCAAAACATTTTCCTATTCTGTAAGTAACAATAACCAATAATGATTTTCTTATAATTCTAACATATCTGTAACACTCCTACAGGTATGGTTAACCCTGAAATCTTTTTTATGCTTTATAGAATTACTGAAAATAAATATCACAACTCTTACCTTTAACATAAACTAAGGAAATTCAATGTATTAGTGACAAATTATAAAAATAATTAAGAAGGTTTTATTATGTCTGATATATTTATAAATTTCACTTTTCCCACCCCAGGAGCAAAGAAAAAAGTGAAATTTATAAATATATCAGACATAATAAAACCTGCTTTGAAGTGTTAATGGTTCCTAAGGAGGATATCAAGCATTTAATTAAACAAAAGGTTATTAAAGCAGATAAAATTTTCAAGCTCAAAACAGGAGAAAAAACTATTTACAAGGAAGAGCAGATTTGGGCATTAAAAGCACCAGTACTATGTGCTAGAAATACAGTGAATTTCAAAAGCCTTTCATTTTAACTAACACAGGAAAAATATTAAGCTATAAATCAGATGAAGACTAGAAAACTTGCAATATGACCCTAATGATTTACATTGCCATGTATACAACCATATTTCTAACTACTCCTCCCCACAAATAAGAAATTAAAATAAGATGCACATAATTTCTTAATAAAAAGGCTTTAACTATACATTTATATACTGTTACATGTACTTTGTTTTGTTTGTTATACTGGAGATTGAACCTGGGGCCTTCTACCACTGAGCTACATCCCAGAAGTTCTGAAATAGGGTCTTGCTAAATTGCCCAGGCTGGTCTCAAACTTACATCCTCCTGCCTCAGTGTTCCAAGTAGCTGAGACTGCAGGCATGAGCCACTATGTCCAGCTTGTTATACTTAAAAGTTACTGTAAAAATATTTTACAATGTGTGAAAAAAACTTTTCTTTTGAATAGTTAGTCAGGATAAGTGTAATTTTGGAAAGCTCATATACATTATTGTATTTATTGTTTCTTACCAGAATTTCACTCTGTACAGAAAGAGACAGAAGGAAGAGTTAGGAGAGACCAGAAAGTAAAGGAAATTTCATCCTCACCAATAGGACATAAACTAAAAGGATTACTACAGGCAACCTAAGAGGCAATAAATAAATTTCCACTGAAAAGGAAATGTATTTCTTTCTTAATAAGCCATTCTCAACATACTAGTATAATTATGAATGACAGAAATGTAGTTTGTGATTCAACCTAAAGCCTATTAGGTAACAAATAATAAAACAATTTGGGGCATCTGAATCAAGATGGCCAAGTGACCACAAAATTTCAGTCTCCATTAAAAAAATAATGAATAAATTAATAAAGACATAAATGTACATGGATGAAGAGAATCGGTAAGGAGGCCATCAGCAAACTAGAAAGTGAAACCAATTTTGGGAAGGCCAAAAGCAGAATAATTGATGAGGCAGTACAGAGGAATAATAGCACAGAGTACAAAGAGAGGAGGCTATAACCAGAGAAGAAAGTTATTCTGTTCTAGAGAACCCCTCAAGACTTAGCTATCAGCAGCCAGAAAAAAAAAAAAATCAGAATGACAGATATACACTTGGAAACAAAAAAATTTAACTGAAAGTCTGCACATGAGCAATCAGTGTCTGCCTCCAGTTCCTCCCTAATCCCATCCCTCAGAGCCAACACAAAAGCCAGCTGCTTAACCTCCCAAGCAAAATCTAAGGCAAATAATGATTGCACGGAGAGCCCACAAAGACCTTCACCCTCTTTGCCTTCCACCCCTTCACCTTAAGAGCCAATTACCCATGTCTTCATCCTAAAGAGAAGCCAGCAACAACAAACGCATGGGCACAGAGTATCTGAACATTTTACTGTCCAATTCCTTTTTTCTTATTTTGGTTCTGAGGATTGAAGCCAGGGGTGCTCTACCACTCAATTATATCCTCAGTCCATTTTCTATGTTATTTTGAGAGAGGGTCTTGCTAAATTCCCAGGCAGGCCTTCAACTTGTAATCCTCCTGTCTCAGCCTTCCAAACTCTAGAATTAAAGGCAAACTCCACTGTGCCAGGCCTTACTGTTCAATTCTTAAATGGAAATAGAATACTAAGGATCACCAGCCATTTGAAGAAGCTAATATGAATGAGAAAGATCAAGGTAAGCAAAAAAAAAAAAAAAAAAAAAAGGAAAAGAAAGAAAGAAAAAAGAAAAAAAGGTCAAAGAGCAAACAGAGATGATCAGGAAACAGAAGGGTACTTAACAAAAAAACCCTACTAATTCACAGCTTCAAGATCTCACACTCATAAAAAAGATGCTATAAAGAGCAAAGATGAACTTTTAGAATTTGAAAATATGGTTAATGAGATAAAAATTCAAAAGAAGGTTAAAAGAAAATTCTCAGATTTTTTTCCAAAAAGTAAATAAACAGAATAGGAGAGAAATGGGAGAGGGTCAGGGCAGACATAGAGAATCAATTCAGGAGGTCTAGTTCAACTGTTGGGAGTTATAAACAGAGAAAAGCAGAAAGGGCATCATTAAAGAAATAACATGAAGGAAGAGCATATTCCAAAACTGAACAAAATAAGCTTCTACACTGAAAGGCTCACCTGAGGTGACAGGATAATGCAGGGGGGAAAAAAAAGCTCACATACTACCAAAACACAGTAACTACAATGAATAATTTAAAAATATGGGAGTAAAAATGTGTACAGAAATTGTTTTAAAAAATCACCAAAAGAGATGAAATAAATAAAATACAAACTGGTGAATAAGAATCTGTGTAACAGAGGTAGGGACCAGGTTAGAAGCAGCAGTGAACATACAACTTTAAATCATATGTATATATCATTTTGATTCAAAGTTTCTTGTAATTGCTTTCAGATTACCTTAAGTAAATAGGTAAAACAGAAATCTTATTCATTTCACAAATTATGTTAGAGAAAACTTGAAAACATACCTAAGACATGGCTAAAAGAAACAACCCAGATTTTGACTTGGCAATCCTGACCACATGATGCCAATCGAAAACACTGAAGTCCTTGTTCTCCATCTGAAACAGTACATTTGTTGAAACATAAACACAAAGAATTGGGGAAAAATTTAAATCAAAAAATTTCAAAATATCCGTTAAAGAATTTCCTTTTAAATAGGTATCTTATATAATGTTAAGCCTGTAATTTCTATAATAAAATGCCTTTAAGACTATAACTCACCAATATTGAACCATTAAAGTAGGGCATATTCAGCCAGGTCCAGTGATGTGCCCCTGTAGTTCAAGATACTTGGGAGACTGAGGCAGGAGGATTTCAAATTTGAGGGCAGCCTGGGTGACTTAGCTGGTCCCTATCTCAAAATAAAAAGTTTAAAAAGGGATGGCGATGTAGATCAGTGACAGAGCACCCCTGGGTTCAATTCCCAGTACTATAAAAAAAGAAAAAAAAAGTGGGGCATCTTCCAACTCAATTTTAGAGTTTATGAGTCTCCACTAATGGAAAAAATTGGGAAGAAGAATCAGTCATAAGAATATTCATGGTTTGGGCTGGGGATGTGGCTCAAGCAGTAGCGCGCTTGCCTGGCATGCGTGAGGCCCGGGTTCGATCCTCAGCACCACATACAAACAAAGATGTTGTGTCCGCCGAAAACTAAAAAATTAAATATTAAAAGATTCTCTCTCTCTCTCTCTCTCTCTCTCTTTAAAAAAAAAAGAATATTCATGGTTAATCATTCCCAACTTAACTATTTTTAACTATTTTCTGATATGCCAGATTTCCTTCCCTTCACTCCTCTTTGAAGTACTAGGAATTGAACCAAGATACTAGAATAGGCTAGGCAAATGCCCTACTACTTTTTTTTGTTGTTGTTGTTGTTACTGGGACTTGAAGCCAGGGGCATTTAACCACTGAGTCTCATCCCCAGTTCCCACCCCCCACTTTTTGAGACAGGGTCTCACTAAGTTGCTTAGGTACTCGCTAAATTGCTGAGACTGACTTGGAACTTGCAATCCTCCTGCCTCAGCCTCCTAAATCGCTGGGATTACAAGCATGTGCCACTGCACCTTGCCAAATGTTCTACTTTTTTTTTTTTTTTTTTTTTTTTGAGAATGTCATACTCTTATTTGTTAAATTTGCTTTCTTTTATTTATTTATTTATTTATTTATTTTTTTAAATTTTTTTTGTGGGTTGTTCAAAACATTACAAATTTCTTGACATATCATATTCCACACTTTGATTCAAGTGGGTTATGAACTCCCACCTTCACCCCATACACAGATTGCAGAATCACATCAGTTACACATCCATTGATTTACAAATTGCCATACTAGTGTCTGTTGTGCTCCGCTGCCTTTCCCATCCTCCACCCTCCACCTTCCCCACCTCTCCCCTCCCCTCCCCTCCTCTCTCTCTACCTCCTCCACTGTATAACCCTGAGGGTCTCCTTCCATTACCATGCAATTTCCCTTCTCTCTCCCTTTCCCTCCCACCTCTCATCCCTGTTAAATGTTAATCTTCTTCTCCTGCTCTTCGTCCCTACACTGTTCTTAGTTACTCTCCTTATATCAAAGAAGACATTTGGCATTTGTTTTTTAGGGAGTGGCTAGCTTCACTTAGCATAATCTGCTCTAATGCCATCCATTTCCCTGTAAATTCTATGATTCTGTCATTTTTTAATGCAGAGCTTTTAAGGACATCCCCAGCTTTTTTTATTTGAGATATGATCTTGCTAAATTGCCCAGGCTGGCCTTAATTTGCAACTCTCCTGCTTCAGCCTCTGGAGAAGCTGAGATTACAGGCATGCACAAGATGCCAGCTGATAAATCTGTTCCTTAAAAGCCTATTCTGTAATTCAGTTGGAGTAACAGTAAGAATTTATTTTACATTGATTTAATCAAAGGAAAGGGCAGAATTATATAAATCCAAAATAACATCAATTCAGCTCATTTTGTAGAAAGTATTATACAATTTAGGGGCAGTAATCAAATAAATTTGGAACTTTAAAAACAAGTCACTAATTTATGCTTAGAGAATTTCAGCATATCACAATATATCTTCCAGATTAACTCACTAGAATTTCCACCTAATATCACAGATGGAGTTTCATCAGAGGCAGTTTGGCCTCATATAAAATAAAACATAATTACATAGTATTAGATTTACATATTTGGGTACATAAATTTTTCCTACAGACTCTGTCTCACTAAAAATACACATACTATATTAACTCACAACAAATTTACTTCCATTTCATTACAAGTTTTTCTAACTCCATGAGACTTCCACATTTCAAAAGCATTTTGGTTTATGCAGCACAGGTTCAGACAAGGTATAACTCTTCACAGATTATAAATGTAAGCAATTCCTGATCATTTCTAAGTCTTTCATAAGGTGAAACATTTTACCCAATAAATAATTAATGGTAACGTATTAAACTTGTTAAGACACCTATTTTTTTCATTGTTTCTTGACTAAGTAGATCCTTTGTAGTTAATTCCTAAGTTGCCATAAGTAATGAGAATTCAGCTAAGACAATCGAAAATTATAGAACATAAAACATGCCAATGCTCAATATCTAAATATAACATTTAGAATATACAGGAAAAATATTTAAATCTTAATAATAATCCAATCCAAATGTTATGGTTTCTAGATGAGGTGTCCCTCAAAAGTTCTTGCGTTAATTCAGGAATATTCAGAGGTGAAATAATTAGATTGTGGGAACTGTAACCTAATTAAGTCCATTCTACTTTGAATGGACTAACTGGTGGTAACACAATAGGCAGGTGGGGTATGGCTAGAAGTGGCAGTTCACTAGGGGCTCTTCCCTGAAAGCATGCATCTTCCCTATGGCCCCTTCCTCTCCTCTCTCTGCTTCCTGGCCACCAGGAACAATGGAGCAGTGATTTTCAACCATGCCCCTCCACCATGATGTTTTGCCTTACCTTGGGCCCAGAGCAATGACATCAGCCCACCAGGGACTAAACCTCTGAAATTATGAGTCAAAATAATTGTTGTTCTTAGAGGGGTATTTTGGTCACAGCAATGAAAAACTAACACATCAATTTTTCTTTGCCACTTAAAAACTGAAGAGATCAATTATCCTAGAGCACAAATGTGATTATTTTTCCTTATTTGAGCAAAATTTCATAAGAAGAGCCAATATGTTGTAAATTTTATAGATATTAACATACACCAAATTAACAAATTAAAATTATATGCTTTATCTTTCAAGTAAGTAGTTTCCATAAATTCCCACAATAATCACTTTTAAAGTATATATCAGTCTGCTTCAGAGAATGCACATATTAGGCCAGTATCTATTTCAACAGAAGCACTGAAGAAAGAACATAGATCAAAATGATACTGAGAGAAATGTTACTTTGAAATACACTGTAAAGATAGGATAGGGATATGCATATTGCTTCAGAATCTTGGCCTTGGTTTAGTGAACCTTTCCTGACCTCAAAAATGGCTGATAGTTTACTCAAATACTAGCTACTACAATAATGGTATTTCATTGAAAATCTACTTTCAGATCACTCAGAACCAAAAAAAAAAAAAAAAAAAGAGAAGAGAAGAAGAAGAAACCTAAATAGTCCCCATGTTTATATAATTTTTAACAATTCATTGAGTGCCTACAAGATACAGAGAAGAGGGCTGGGGTTGTAGCTCAGTGGTAGCATGCTTGCCTAGTATGTGTGAGACACTGGTTTCGATAATTGGCACTTCATAAAAATAAATAATAAAAAAATAAAGGTATCGTGTCCATCTACAATTAAAAAAAATTTTAAAAAAGGTGTAGAGAAGGTACCCCAGAGATGGAAGAAATGGTTCTTGTTATAAATAAGCCATTATTCTTAGAATAAAACAGCATAAAACAATATATTAAAATAAATCAAATTAGGGAATTAATATTAATTCCCTAATAGGAGAAAAGAAAATATATTAATCTGCTACATGATGTTAAAAGACTAAAAAATTAAAAATTTCAGTGAAAAACTGAAAGAAATACTGCTCACCAATCTGTACCTTGATTTCAAGGCCTATCTACATTTCACGGCACAGTGTTCCAGCCAACATGAAGAATATAGACCCAAGCATATCTGCATGGAACTTACATGCTAATAGGAAAAATGCCATTAATCATTATCCATGTATAAACCAGGAGCAGTAGGGTTCACCTATAATCCCAGGTACTCAAGAGGCTGAAGCAAAAGAATTACCTAAGCCCAGGAGTTTGAGGCCAGCCTGGGCAATATAGAGAGAACCCATTTCAAAAATTAAAACCAAAAAAATTACCATATGATTAAATATGTAATTAAAAACTGTGATACTTTTGTAAGCACTATGTAAGAAAAATAAAGTATACAAATAAAAGATTATATCAAAATGATAGATTTAATGCAAAGAGTAAAAGCAGGGGAGGGGTCATCTGAAGTGATTTTTCAGCTAAAGCATGACTAAAGAGAAAACCATGTGAAGGGTCACATTTAAAATCCTTGGAAAAAAGAAATACCAGTGTGGCGCTGGGGTTACGGCTCAGCAGTAGAGCGCTGGACAAGGCCCTGGGTTCGATCCTCAGCACCACGTAAAAATAAATAAATAAAGATATTGTATCCAACTACAACTAAAAAATAATTTAAAGAAAAGAAATACCAGTGTGGCAAAAGAGAATGCTAGAGGCCAAGAATGATTTAAGATTAAATTGAAATAGAATATGCAAGGTTCCTACTCGCTTTGCCCTTTGGATTTGGGACTTTATCTTACCTTAATTATATCTTAAATCATTGATGGGTTTGAAATATGGAATGCTGAAAACATACTATCTACTATCTGGACGAGTTGCTGAACAATAAGGTAATAACTAGCCATATATGGGTACTGAACATTTGAAATGTAGTTAGTCCAAACTGAAATGTGAGACAATATACACACTAGACTTTGAAGACTTATTACAAAAAGGAAAAATATTTAATAATTTCTATTATCAATTATTAAAATAATACAACAGATATATCGGGTAAAAATACATTACTTAAATTAATTCCATCTACTAGGAAATTTTTAATTTACCTATGTGGCTCTCATTACATTGCTATGGACAATACTGATCTGCAAACAAGTCTGGAGAGAGCAAAAGCAGAATTTCCATTCTCACATAGAGAATGAAAAAGAAAAGGGAAACTTTCCAATTATCTGTTTAATACCAAGAGTCTATAATTCGGGAGTTTTGTTTAATCTTTTTTTTTTAAAAATTAGGTTGTCATCATTTTATTTTAAAAAGTTAGTTTTTGAAAAATCAAATAAGTAAATGGGAAATGCAGCTCATTTCCAACTTTTTAACTTCACATTTCTATCTGAGTATCAATCTAGTGTATTTAAAAAATTACAGTAAAACCAATGGGGTCAAATCCTCTAACTTGCCATATTCTAGGAATCTGAATGTATTATACCAAGATAAATCATCCCTTACATATACTAAAAATCGTGTTTTTTTTATCTAAAGAGAGAAAAGATGATTCCTCAAAAGGAACAAATTTACTAATGACAATATGAAAATGAATGAAAGGGCAAAAAGTTACACAAATTACAAACAGGAATTTCTAGTGCTTGAAAGGATAAAATAACTAACCAGAAACTGGCTGTGAAGAAAAATCGCAGCAGGTTATACCAAGATCATGTGCTTTTTCACTATGCAGACACCTCATTTTATCATCCCACACTGTTAAATCTCCACATGAGGAGCCAGTGACAAAGAGGTTTCCATTAGGAGAAAATGCACAGGCCATCAAGGAGCCATCCTTAACACTACTGCATCTGAAATAAAAGCAAAAAGGGGTGTTTTCATTTCAGAGCATCTTTGACTTTATATTACAATCTCTAACAGCAACATAATATAACAGAAAGAGGGTAAATGGCTATCACTTCAGCAAAGAGAAAGGGCAACCTGATGCCTACAGAAAAAAAAGTATCATTTATGTGTTATAAACTGAGATGTGCTTTCTAAAGTTATAGGAGGATTTAAACATCTTAAAGTGTTCAAGTGTAAATTATAGGAATATGAACCAATGTCCACATCTCTCCATATCTTTCTATTTGGCAAGCCACTATGAACACATTAAAATCTACAAAACTTTAAAAAAGAGCAATTACAATCAACAATAACCATAGCCATATTTTTAAAAAGGTAATATGAAGCCAGGTACCATGGCACACTTCTGTAATCCCAGCAACATAGGATGGGGCAAAAGATCACAAGTTCAAGGCCAGCCTAAGTAACTTACAAGACAATCTCAAAATAAAAAAGGAATGGGGATGTAGCACAATGGCAGAGTGACACTGGTTTCAATTCCCAGTACTTAAAAAAAAAAAAAGTAATATGAAACTATTTAAATGGAAAAACAAGTTACTGAGGTCAAAAGCACTTGCAACTTCTGTGTTAAAATCACCCAGACGCAATAGTAGGGCTTTTATTTGAAAGGAAAATGTTATGAAAAAATTACCATCTCTTGGAAAAAGAGGAAAGCACTATGCAGACAATATTATTTTCTCAATTAGAAAAAAATAGAATGATGAGAACTATATACATTGGGGAAGATATGCTATAAAGACAGAAGTCATCACCTAATAAGTGCAAAAAAAATTCCTTGGCTATGAGATGAATTTTATTCATATAAAATACATTTTGCTTTTATGCTTTCCCATCAAGCTAAGTGTTTATATAACACCACTTAAAACACAACAGCTTCTTAAACCGTAACACCTAAACTTAAATGAGCAACAGTTGACCTTCTGACATTTGTGCTCTGAATGACAGGGAATAAGAGAAGGGATAGGAACATTAGGTTATTTTAACTCAGTAAGAATGAAAGTCTCTGTTTTTAATGTACTTAATGTTACTTAAAAGTGTAACTTCTAGTACATTTTACACTAATATAAATAAAAATTTATGGTTTTAATTTGGTAAGTTGCAACATAATATCACTAGTGTAAATTGATTGATGTATTTTTTTTCCCCAAAAGAGTCTTTTAGGTGGGTCATGCCCTTGGCCCCACAACCCTTGCAGAAATAGTCACTACATTCTTTCTTCCAGGCTTGGTCAATCTACCCAGCAAGAATTCTAGCTAGGGAACTAGTTGTATCTCCTCAGCAGGATTTACCTACCAATACTTTACTATTGAAAAAATAAGTGACAAAAATAAGCCTAAAATTACTGAGCCTAATTCAAAAGGCTACTTTCTTTGCCTAATACTTATAGCAAAAATCTACAAAAGTCTAAGAAGATTAACCCTTACCTTTAAAAATATTGGAAATTTAAAACTCTCTCAAAGGCAAACAAAACTACCACAAGAATCATATTAAACATTTGTTTGTTTGTTTGTTTTTACTTTCAACAAATAGGTCAAAATATTATTCCTGGGGCTAGGGTTGTAGCTTAGTGATAAAGTGCTTGACTAGTATGTGTGAGGCACTGGGTTTGATCCTCGGCACTGCAAATAAATAAGTAAATAAATAAATAAATAAAGATATAATAACATTATAAAAACTATATTAAAAATATATTTTTCCTTATGCTGTTTGACAACTACCTGCTTCAGAAGATCATTAAAATATTTTGCTTTCTGCTTTTTTACATCTTGCTAAAAATGAAAACGATTTAAATATTCATACCTATATGACTTGTATGACTGCGCATTCCACAAAACAACAGTTCCATCAGCTGCGCCCGATGCCAAACAAGTGGAGTCTGGGGAAAACCGGCAAACCCTCACGGGGCTACCACCAGGCTGTTGCATCACTGCCAGAGTCTGTCCATTTTGAGTACTCCACAGGACAGTGGTACCATCTGTTGAACATGATGCCAAAATATGTCCTGAAGGAGAGAAACAGCAGCAGTGGACAGCATACGTGTGGAACTTCAATGGAGAGTATGGCAGTTCAGTAAAGTCAATTAAGGAGTACAGGCGAATTGTTTTGTCCAAGGAGCAAGTAGCCAAGAGGGACGAGGAGAAGGCACAGCAGTTGACATCGTCACCATGATCAGCTAGTGTGTGAATGAGTTTCACCATATTCTTTATTTAAAGTAAAACCACCTGCAATTTTTAAATAGGTAAAGATTACATAACCCTAGGAAACAAATAATGGCATCTCAAGTCAATATAAGAGTCAAAATCAAAGAATTTGCTCAAAATCAAAAAAAGAAATATATTAATATTTTTGAAGGAAAATCCATTACCTAGGATGAGGATAATTTGGAGGAACATAAAATATTTACAGGACTATAACCTCTGATGATGAGCATACCTACCATGGTCATATCAATAAAGCTCCACAACTCTTGACAAAGAACCTTGATAAATAACTTCAAACCAATCGGATGTTGAGCTTTCAAAACCTCAGGAACTTATTTCATCTTTGAAAGCCCTTCCCTAATTCTCAACATTGCCTCATTTTAGATCTCAACTCAAAAATATTCTTCACTTTCTTAACACTGTCTCAGCTGCTCCTTCCACTGGGTGGAGCTAAGGCTATTTGCTCTGCCTTTAACATGCAACTGTAGGTTTTACATAAAAAAACTAACAAAAATTAAAATTTAAGTGGCTGTGTTGAAAGCCACGTTATCGTGATTTGTCATCATGTCGGATAAAGTGTAAGGTACAAAAAACTTGAGATGAGTAACTAATTCTGAACAAGTCAAGGAAATCAAGAGTGGCAAAAAAAAAAGAGAGACTATACTCAAAAACAAATTTATGAATTTAAAATAAAATCTAGCCAGGCATGGTGGCACACACGTGCCTGTAATCCCAGCAACTTGGGATGCTGAGGCAGGAGGATCAAAAAGTTCAAGTTTGAGACCAGCTTCAACAAATTAGTGAGACCTCCAGCAACTTATTGATACTGTCTCAAAATAGAAAAATAAAAAGAGCTAGAGATATAGCTCAGTGGCAAAGCACCCCTGGGTTCAAACCCTAGTATCACTACCATCACTAATAATGATAATGATGATGATGATGATGATAATAATAATAATAATAATAATAATAATAATATCCAAACTCCTCCCCATGACTCATAAAACCTTAAATGATTTGATTTTTGCTTGCCAACTTCTCAAATTTCAACTCCCTGGCCAAACTCATTCTATTCTTTCATTTTCATAAAGCAGTTTGCTTGAGCTGAAATAATTTCTCCTCTACTATTGGGATCCTATTGCTCACTGAAATCTCAAATTCAATGTCCCTCAGAAATGGTTACCCTAGCTGAAGTGGCCACTTTCTTAGTTAAGACATCACCCCCATTTTAATTATCAGTGTAGCAATTACCACTATCAGATATTTTGTTGAATTATTTGTCTCAAGACACTAGAACATGTTCTTGAGGAGGTATTTAATCTATCTTGCTCACTCTGTAACCACAGCAGCCTCAGCCCCTATTATGTGTTCAAATAACTATGTGTTGAATATTTTTTTTTTTGTTAAATCCAAGTGAGTTTTAGCCTTGAAATGCTATATATGGAATATAATTAGAAAATAAAGCCATCAAAACTTTTTTTTTTTTTTAAGTTCTTCGCAGTGGAAAAATGGTGTAGAAAGAGGCAGTATTCAGCCCTGAAGGACGAGAATAACCTTGGCCTGTAAGATTCTCTGGTCTTATTTACAGAAATCTCTACTTTAAAAATAAAGAAAGAAAATTAAAAAAAAAAATAGTCATGACTTTCCCCATCTTCATCTTATCCCAAAAGTTCAGGCTCTTTTTCTGGTCAAATAGTTTCAGAGAGGGCAGGAAGCATAAAAAATTCTGGTAGATTATCGCCTGTATTATTGCGCTGAAAGCAATGAAGATCAGGTGGTGCTTTCTGGAGAACTTCCAAATCCCAACTGTCGAGTGCACACAGGGTATTTCCCAAACTCACTCTGGCTCCCACCACTTCGTGGCACTCGGCCCCTTCGGCGGTGTGAGGCGGTACAGCCTTAGAAGCAAGGGATGGTGACCCGCTACGTAGGTCTGAAAAGCGCATTCAAGCCTACCTCTCTCTACCTGTCACAGATGTGGGCGTCCCGCCCGGGCTCAGCTGTCATGCTAACGCTACACCTCGGGGCAAACTCGCTCAGTAAGCCACGGTGGACACACGCAAGCATCCTCGTCCAATACAAACCAAACCCTAAAGGCGCCAGACACCCCTAAAATAAAGCCCGCGACTTACTTCCCTTGCACCAAAGAGTTTGCCCAACTCTTGAGCCGGCTGGCCTCTGGGAGGAGGAGGCCTCTGGAGCGCGCGTTTACCGCGCGGCTGACTCGCCCTGCTCTGGGCTGGGGCTTGCACCCGCACCTGCCAGCCGAGGCGGCACAACAGCGCGTCCCTGCCGTCGAGGTCCCGGTCCGGTCCGGTATGCTGAGAACCGATTCCGGAACACCGAATGGTTCACACGCCGCCAACAAGGAAGCACTAAGGGCGGGTAGCCGCGGCGAAGCCGGTCAGTGGGCACGGCCTCGCTCACCACGACGAACGGGAGGGCGCGGACCGTGCCGGGCGGGTGGCGCAAGTCACGTGAGGTACAGGTGAGGCCCGCAAGGCCTCAGCCCAGGGAAAATCACCGGCGGAAACAGGCCCCGCCCTCAGGGCTGCTCGGCGCATGCGTGCCCTATTGCCTCGGACTGAGAGCGCTCCTCAGTATTCTGGAGTGCGCGGTAGAGGTGAGTTCGGACTTCTGAGACTTTAGGTAGCAGTTTTTTCTCAGTTGAATGTAACACGTAATTACATTCTAAAGTACTGCCAAACAGTATTCATGAATGAATCCCTGAAATGTGCTTATGAAGGGACACCGCATCTATATGTATCCCACCTTAAAATTTTTAAATCTCCCTTTGCCTTACTATATTTTTCCAGCCTACACTGTCTTGGTTCTCCTCTGAGACTTTTCAATTGGTTTCTTCTGTTTATGCTAGTCTTCGGTGTCCTCAACGCAGTGTCCTCTGCCATTGCCTGCATGCCTGGGTTTCCCAAAGCTGTCTGTCCTGCACTGGCTACTAAACCCCCTGACCCAGTCCTGAGGTTTCCCTACCCACCAGACTGGGCCCAGTGGCTATCCATGTATCCCCTGACCCATTGTGCATTTCTTCAGCCTTTCCCCATTGTAGACTGCGGGTTCCCATGGGTAATTGACTACACAATTGCCCTACCAGTACATTAAAATATATCAGCCCTAGGAAACCAAAGACATACATTTGAAGAGTATTAACCTAAAAATGCTCACATTTAAAGATCATGGACGATGATTGTAATGGAAGACTAAAGGGGAATGGAAAAATCAAAATTCATGATTTTGTGAAATTCTTGTGATTTTTAAATTATCAGAGTGTATCATGATTGTAGACCTTGAACACCTAATTACATTCTAAAGTACTGCCAAACAGTATTTTTCAAAATCAAGTTTGTGATCATATAAATAATAAGGCTCTCTGTAAAAAAAAAAATGTAGAAGATATAAATAAGAAAATAAATAGCTAATAATCACACCACTCAAAGATAAAAAACCCTCATATATAGTTATAATATATAGTTATAATAGTTTCTTTCCTTTGCTCAGGTAAATATCAACAATTTGACAAAAACTTCTCACAAACTGCTTTTTTAACATTGGAATTTGTATCCTGAGCACTTTCCATGCTTAAAATTTCTTCATTAGCTTTATTTATTTTTTTCTAATGCCTAATATGGAAACACAGCCTAATTCATATAACATTTTCCTTATTGCTAGATGGTGGTTTCAACATTATTCAACATGCTCTTAGTATAGCTAATGCTGTATTAAACATCTTTTTACATAAATCTTTATGGTTTTGTTTTGTACATAAATATTTATCCACATTTATGAACATATACTTAGGATATTGTTATATGGGAATGGAAATACTGAGCATAACGGTGTAAAGATTTTTGCTTTTTGAGCATTACATAGTGGTTCTTGTCTCTCCATGTTCTTGTCAAACTTAAATAATACTTTCTCTTCACTAATGTGATGAGCAAACTGGTTATACTATTCTTTCAATAAAATATATTTAAGAGACCTCTGCCTACACATACCAACAGTTTAACACAATGACCTTACAGCCAATAAGGCCATCTTTGCCACCTCTTGCAGTTTCAGAGAAGGAAGTCCTACTGTAGATGATCTCTAGCCTACAAGATTGCAGTTTGGGAGATATTCTAAAATATCTTGCTAATACACTCTGTAAATAATTTATAAATTTATAAATTGAAACAATTTATAAAGATAATATATAGGAATTTTTAAAAATAGTTTTTAGTTGTAGATGTACACAATATCTTTATTTATTTTTATGTGGTGCTGAGGATTGAACCCATTGCCTCACACATGCGAGGTAGGCAGTCTACCACTGAGCCACAGAACCAGCCCCAGTATAGGAATTTATAGAGATCTTGGATCATCTTATTTCAGGACACAGAGTTCTTGGAACTTAAAGGTATTAAATATTTACATATTTTATGCATTCCTGACTTTAATTGTATATTTGTTTAATAAGAAAAATCCTGCTTCTTATAATAATTCTACTTGAGGAAGATAGAAATTTTCAATGATACATTTAAAGGAAAGCTAATTTTCAATTAGATAGTAGGCAGTACATGCTCTCAAAATACAATTGCAATGGGAACAGAATAGGTGTGAAGCAATTGGTTAGGCACTAATTAAAGTGTGTGGTCCAGGCCAGGCACAGTGGCGTACCATGCCTGTAATCCCAGCAGCTCAGGAGGATCATGAGTTCAAAGCCAGGGGTTGGGGATGTGGCTCAAGTGGTAGCGTGCTTGCCTAGCATGCGTGAGGCACTGGGTTTGATTCTCAGCACCACATAAAAATAAAGATATTGTGTCCACCTAAAACTAAAAAAATAAATATATATTTTTTTAAAGTGAGGCACTAAGCAATTCAGTGAGACCCTGTCTCTCAAGAAATTACAAAATCGGGCTGGGGATGTAGCTTAGCAATAAAGCACCTCTGTCTTCAATCCCTAGTTAAAAAAAAAAAAAAAAGTAGCTCAGAAGATAGAGAGAAATGATAGGCACTGGGGAAACTGAAAGATGGGTGCAGGAATGGGTCCTAAGTAAGCCAGAAGCCTGGACTTATTTAAGCTGAGGCATGAACTTAGGAAATGCCAGTTTCACAATAAATAATCAGAGAATATTGGGGTTGTTTTGCTTAACAGCAAACCTGACATCAGAGTTTCTGAAATGTTGGGAAAGGTAAAATTCAAGGTATAAAAACTCCCTTGAAGTGTTTAGTTTAAAAAGCATATTTGGTCTAACACATATGGTATATGCATTTGTATTTACATGTATGTTATGCATTCTAAAAAGCTTTTTAAGACATGCCTGAAAATTGCCCAGGAGTTTTCTCACATCTGATGCAATAAAGCACCATCCACAGTGGTGAACTCTGGGGATCTGGGAAGCAGTAACTCTGGGCTATGCTGTGTTATCTTCGAAATCATGTAATGTTCTCTCAGTTCCCCATTATCATTTGCCATTAAATAAACTTTATGCTTTCTAACTGGCCGTCTTTCCATTAAACTATCCATAGTTCTGGTGTACCAACAAAGTAGCAAGAGTTTTTTCATTGTTTTTACTTCCCAGTATTATTAATGCTTTTAAGAAAAATCAAGATGTTAAGAAGGCATTTTTTAAAATACATTTTTAGTTCCAGATGCATGATTTTGATTACCTAAAGAAGAAATTATTACAGACACTGATAAATCAAATTCAATTAATAGTTCACCTTAAGAATTAACAAATCATGTTTTCAGTTTATTGCCCATAGTAGTCTGGAATACAATATTTTGATGCTAGTCTTCAGGATCCTGTAGTATCTTGTCAATCAATTGGCCAAATAGAATTAGGTCTCTAACCAGATTATTTGGTATTAATATTTCTCCATATTTTCAGTAATGACTTTCCAACAGTTGACTGATTTTTGGCCTAAAGAAAATCAAGATAGCAGGGCATAGAGACACATGTCTGCAATCCTAGTTACATGGGAGGCTGAGGCAGGTGGATCACAAGTTTGAGGCCATCTTTGGCAACTTAGATCCTGTCTCAAAATACAGTTACAATTCCTTTAAATGTCAATTGAAGTAAGAATGAAAGCTAAAATTAATACTAAAAAAATGTAATTAGAAAAAGAGCTGGGCATGTAGGTTAGTGAGTAGAGGATTCTAGGTTCAATCTTCAATATTACACACACAAACACAATTAAGAAGATCAAGATATTCCTTTAGTTTTATTTTCTTTTTGTAACTTGAAGAGGAAAAGACAATTATCAGATTTTAAAATATATAATTAAATGTCACCTACTGCAGATTATATTTTTCAAAAATGACTGAAAGAATATTTTCCATCCTATATGCTCTCCCAGAACTTTGCCACTCACGCATGAAGAAATATTGGGATTTTTGTTGTTTTGCTTGCTTGCTTATTTGTTAATAAATTTGAGTTTTGCTTATCTCATGTGTAAACCTTTCTCATCTATAAAATGAGAATAAAAATACTTGATTTGCAGAGTTTCTTAGAATTAAATGACGACTCAACAATTCCGAAGAGTATTTCAGATACCTTTTATAGGATGTTAATGATTAGTTGATATTTTTAAATGAGGATTTTTATAATTAAATTTAGACATGAAGAGTTAAAGTTAAATAAGTTTCTCTACTGAAGAACTTCTTAGACTTTATTCCGCAAATATCCATAATTCTCTTAGAGGAGTAATAATTTGCTCAGCATTTCCCAAACTTAATTTGATCTTTTCATGTACTCTCTCATAAAAATTCCATGGAACACACTTTTGGAAAACACTAGATTGTGTGCATAGGAACCCAATGCATGGTAACTAATTTCTAAATTCTTTAGCATTGCCTAGAAACACTATAGTGGATACTTGATATTTTTCCTGCAGAGCATTCTTTCCTCTTCTTGGGTGACAGCATCCACTTCTTCCTTTGAGGAATTGCTACTCTCCCATTCCATGAGATCCTAGTAGCACTGTTAAAAATGCCCTCGCTGGCACCTCCTCCCCTGTATTCCCATTATGCAATGTGCCAGGGTGAAGTATACAGTTGGTCAGTCTCTCCTAGGAGTTTGCATCTTTTTTTTTTGGGTGGGGGGGCTGGGGATTGAACCCAGAGGGGCTTACCCACTGAGTCACATCCCCAGCCTTTTTAATGTTTTATTATTTTTAAAAAAATCTTTTTTTTTTTTAGTTGTAGATGGACACAATACCTTTATTTTGTTCATTTATTTATTTATTTTTTTGTAGTGCTGGGGATTGAACCCAGTCCCTTGCACATCCTAGGCAAAGCATGTGCTCTACCACAACCCCAGCCCTTAATGTTTTACTTTGTGATACAGGGTCCCACTGAGGTGCTTAGGGCCTCGCTAAGTTGCTGAGGCTGGCTTTGAACTTGCAGTCCTCCTGCCTCAGCCTCCCAAGTTGCTGGGATTACAGGGATGCACCACTA